CCAAACGATATTTTTTATTGATAAAAATGACATTTTGAATTGAGCTATACATAATAAAATGAAATTAGCTTTTCTTTTATACATAAAATTTTAATATACAAATGCTCAAACTATGTTATTTTTAATGTAAAAATAGAACATTATGAATTGAGCTGTGCCTAATTTTCGTCTAAATGAAATGTTTCCACGAATTAGCTTTTCTTTTATACATAAAATTTTAATTTAAAAATTGAACATTATGAATTGAGCTATGCATATATTTTCGTCTAAATGAAATGTTTCCACGAATTAGCTTTTCTTTTATACGTAAAATGTTATATACAAATGCTCAAACTATGTTATTTTTAATATAAAAATTGAACAATATGAATTGGGCTATGCATAATTTTCGTCTAAATGAAATGTTTCCATGAATTAGCTTTAATCACATTTTATTATACAAAAATAAATAATTTTGAATTGAGCTATGTATTATATTCGTGTAAATTAAACAAAATTCATAATAGTTTGTATTCACCCAAAATTCATAATAATTTGTACCGAACTAGAATTTAAAGAATTTGTATCCGCCTAAAATTGAAAGAATTTGTATCCGCCTAAAATTGAAAGAAGTTGTATCCACCTAAAATTTAAAGAATTTGTGTCTACCTAAAATTTAAAGAATTTTGTATCCACCTAAAATATAAAGAATTTGTGTTCACCTAAAATTTAAAGAATCTACATGTATATCGACTTAAAATTCATAATTCATAAGAATTTGCGTCCACCTAAAACTCATTATTTAATTTAGAGTTATTTTATCAATTTTCGCTTTAACAAATTTAAATTTTCAATAATAATTATGTATCGTATTATAAATCTGATGCAATATCCGTATACGTGAGTACAGTTTAATCGGCTTAACACCCACAATCGACAACTTAATCAGCCGGCAATTAAGCCATGTTCTTTAATCAAAACTAAATGTTTCGATTTCACACTATTTTGGACAATAAGGTTAGTTCAAGTTAACTCGTTAATACTTGGTTTTAAAAGGTTAATCATCCAGTACTAAACCTCTATTTAATCTTTGATTACATCAAAATAAAATCTATCTAGTCATATTATAGGCATACACATACGAATACGAACAAAAAATCACAAAATGTGTGAGCACAAGTTCACCTGTTAAAAACCTTGAAACCTTAAAATGTACAGTTAAAGGGCCAATCTCGATTATATTTTGGAGAATAAAGCTGTTTAATTTTGTTTTAAAAGCTCTTAAAATTCTCTACCTTAGAACCTGCAACTAATCCGATTTGCTGTTCGACTTTCATTCATAATTAAATCATGAAATGGATAATCGAGACTATGTCTTTTATCCTACCGGCTTTAGTAATGGTGATCGAGGCTAGGCCGAAAATTCATTCGCTAAAATCTCGGTTCATAGTGGATCAATTTGACTGAAATTTTTAGCAAATTCCCTTTACAGTATTTAGTTTTTAACTATTATAGTGAGAACTGCCAGCTCTTTATCTAATCTCCAATAATGTATCTTTAATAGTATTTATAGTCATCCAACTGTAATACCTTTTTCAAGCTATGTCAGAATGTAATATACATTTCTGAAAAGGTAAATGAAACTCCTTTTCAGTGGTATTCTGTGTGATATCTGGAATGTCGTAGTATGACCCGTATTTTTTTTAAGACACCACCCACACTCACAATCAATTAATAGAGTTTAATAGCGTACAACTTTTCAAGTTTTTGCTGGTACATGTATATTTATATACCTTGAAAAGAGATCAAAGATCCACGGTATATATGCCTGGAAAGCACCTGTTTTAGGGTATGTTTGATATACCGTATATATATCTGTATTTATATCTTTATGTTAAAACTTGATTTTTGATCTATTAGTGATTAGTAGAATATACCCATCATTTAACAATTTAATATGACATGTTTTGTTCACTTATTGTAAATAATCATTTTGTATCTTTTCATTGTTTTTGTGTACTGAGTGTATATTTTGTCCTGTAATAAACTGTTGTGTTGTCAATTCGTCTCGACTGTTTCTGTGCAATCCCGACCTGGAGTAGATCATGCGACCCCCTGCAACAAAATGGCCCAACGTGATATATATATATAGACGGTTGATTCCTGTTGTGTTTGGTGAGCTGTGTTTTACGAACTCTTGCTTGTGTTGCGTTTTTGTGATGGAATTCTTAAATTTTATTTTGATTTCTGCGAAAGAGCTCTGTAAGTTTTTTTCCCTTATATTTGGTCAAGTAAACATTTTGTTTCACTGAATATATTATTATAATTGTATTAATTGAAATCTTCTCTTACCCCTTTGTTCGTCAGGGTGCCCTATTCCAGTTCCCCGATCTAAAGTGTCACTTGATACTTCTTCGTCAATTGATTGCAGTATTTCTAATGAGCCTATAACTCAGGCCAGTACCAGTGATGTAAATAGTGATGCCATTCCTCATTCTGATGCAAGTAGTGTTGTTTTATAGTCGTCTGATGCAAATGTGTTTGTGGTTAATATTAATGATAATAATTTGGTTTCTGATGGTCATTGTTCTACTAATATTGATATTTCTTTGCAAAAAGCTCCAAATATTTTACCACTGGATATTTTTGTTCCAGTTATGTCAGATAGATTTTTTTCACAGCTTGATATTCTAATTCGTCAGAAAATCCTGTTTCTGGAAAACGTCAACGAAGGCCACCGGGGTGGATGAAATCTAATGCTTGAGTTTTAAGTAATACTGTTTGGGTTTGAGTTTCATTATCTACTTGTATAATTGTCCATTTCTGCATTATTAGTTAGGTTAAATTAGAAATGTATGTAGTTGCTTAGAGTTTTTAGTTGATAACGATTTGGATTTGTTTATGGAGTATGATTTTGGTTTTGTGAGTTGGTTCATTATGTATATATATATGTATTTTGCTCAGGCGCAAACAATTTTAACTAAAATCTATTAAAATTGCATTTTAAGTTACAATCGATCTTCGTGAAACGCATAAAAATTAAAATTTCATTTTGATTTTAGTTAAAATCTATTTTAGTGATTTTACCATAAGTTTTTGTGAAACAGTGCCAAGGATTCCTTTCAATATTCGTGCCTATCTATGGCCCCTGATTGTACAATCACATTTTTTAGCTTGTTATCTGTCCATCTCTTGCAAAATGTTGGTGTATTTTGCATAGCAACCACTGGTAACAGATTTCTTTCAAATATGCTTGGAACTCTGTCGATATTGAGCGTTCTGTGACTTTTCCGAAAAACTTGTAATCCTGATTCATTTTTTTCCCGTGTATTATTTATTCTTCTGTAAAATTCACAATGAAACAAAGAAATGTTGTGTGCTGATATCTCATTAAAAGTCCATCAAATCATTTGTCTATTTAAATATGTGTTCAAGACATGTTAGCATGTGTATCTTTACCGTAACATTTTGATTCAAATATTGATGGGGTTCTTTTGCAATTTGGTCTTTTTGGACGATTTGGCTTAAAAGGATAGTATAGTTTTTCTGATTATTTTTTTAAGGGCAGTTCAGTGGGGATTAAGTTAATTTAGCTTTCAATTCATTTTTGTTTGTTTATCATTGCACATGTACCAATTGCTCTTGGCCACCTAAGTTTGTTTTTCAGGAATCAGGTTGGTGGATGCAGAATGGTGGACACAGATGGAAGAGGATGCAGGCAAGGCAGTATGGTGATCTGTTTGAACGATTTGGTTTAAAAGGAGAGTAATGTGATTTTCTTGAGGGCAGGGGCAGGCTGCGGACCGATCGGCTCTCAATTCTGGGGATAAAACCATCTGAACAGTTCAGTTCAATTCCATTTAGTTCAGTAGGGATTAAGTTAATTTAGCTTTCAATTCATTTTTGTTTATCATTGCACATGTACTAATTGCATTCGGCCATCTAAGTTTGTTTTTCAGGAACCAGGTTGGTGGATGCAGAATGGTGGACATAGATGGAAGAGGATGCAGGCAAGGCAGTATGGTGATCTGTTTGGACGATTTGGTTTAAAAGGAGAGTACAGTTTTTCTGATTGATTTTCTTGAGGGTAGTGACTGGCTGTAGACCGAGCGGCTCTCAATATTGGGGATAAGACCATCTGAACAGTTCAGTTCAATTCCATTTAGTTCAGTGGGGATTAAGTTAATTTAGCTTTCAATTCATTTTTGTTTGTCATTGCACATGTACTAATTGTATACGGCCACCACAGTTTGTTTTTCAGGAACCAGGTTGGTGGATGCAGAATGTTGGACACAGATGGATCCTAAATTATAAGACCCATGTTATTTTTTTACAGCATTTTTCCCCAAAAAAATTGTCGTATTGGAAGTTTGATATCTTTTAAAATAATATTAATGGATTTTGTGTGAATTTCCAATTCACACAGTAGTAAGTTATATTTCTAATTATAATCACCAAACTAACACCAAGTGCAGAGCACGAACTAGGCTTGGTTGATCACCAACTTGGAACAACGTTGACCTAGATGTTATATAACAACTGATAATTGCCAGAGTTTATTAGGAGCAATACAATTGATCAACAATTTCATTGTAACTAATGTGTATTATAGAATTTATCAGAAAGAACAATAATATTATTCCCAATACATTCACTCTCTTGGAATTTGCGAGTATTTTGGTTTAATAAAGTTTAAAATATGTCATGACTCTGTAAATTAATAACGATGTGTTGTAATTTGTCAGGCACACAAACGCCTCAATGGATTATGCACATTAGCTATATTTGAATTACATCAAAGGTGTATTAGAAATTACTGTTCTGAAACAGTTTCTTTTTATAAACATTCATGACGTGGGGCTCAATATAGAATAATAAATGGCCAGAAATATTTAAAATGAAGCTATATAAGTTTAAAACTATGACTTTAAAATATAGTGAAAATGTCAACATAGATCACTGCAGTAATAAATTGTTGTTGCTGAAATGGGTCCCTATAAAGACAATAGCTCAAATCTTAACACAATTTTACATATCCGATGCATTGAAGAATAGCTAATGTATATTAGGTGAATACATTGACGGAGTTCGAAGATCAGCATTTTCTGCTTAGGGTAAGCAGAGATAAGCAATTTGATTGGTTGATGCTTAATGCTGGGACACGATAACTTTAGTTCTAATTAAGTGAGAGTGATGGAACTTGGTGTATGGTCCTTGATAAAACATCTTTGCTCCAGTTATAACACGCTTTCGAGAAAACTCACCATACAAAGAATACACAGTGTCAAGTCGTCGCACCGTCGCAGAGATTTTCACTCTTAGCGATAATTATCTCAGCGACCTTAATTGACGAAAATTGAGTTGGCCTTAAAGGGACAATAACACTCTTGCTGGCTTGAAAGCTCCAGAAAATAAATAATATCTCTATCTAAGTACTAGATGTTTAAGTGTCCTACCTGTTGTGTAAATTATCCATTACATCCTATTTTACTTGTCCAGAGGGTTCGAAAATATTTTTTAATCGAAGTTTCATTTGAAAAGGGTTACGTTAGACGTTTCAAACCATTATTTTGAATTTTTCAAAATTTTTAAATAAGGTGTGTTAAGATGAAATTTGTATGATCAATTAATTGAAATATTCTAAAATAGTACAATTTGTTGACCAGAATAAAGATTGGGACATATTATTCTGTTACAACAAGAGTGGTATTGAGCCTTTAACAAATAGATCTAGCCACCGTACACTGTCGAAAAATTGATGGGGTCTGGTTGTTCAAAAACTATTGTCTCGATTTGCAGGGGCGTTTAAACGTGGCTGAGTTAACTCCCTTTCGAAAATGGCTGCTGGTTGTTGATGTAAACAAAAAATGTTATCAATGATAAATAATTGTAGTTGTATAACAAACAAGGGACCATAAGACTACCATATTATAAAACCTGTACTATGGATATTGACAGGTTAGTTATTTTTAGAGCTAAATGCCCAGCGCAGCTGGGCAGTAAAATATTAACCAAAGAATTTGATCACTTCTTTTCGTTCAGCTTCGGACGTGGTTGGTTGCCACTAGTTCAGCTCTGAACGTAGGTCTCAAGGTCTCATTAGACTCGCCCAGTACGTTCAGGAACCGTCCTATTGAATCCTTGGCGAAACTGAAATCGCTTTCCAGTCAATTTTACTTGGCAACTTACTGCTAAACGGTGGGGTGTCAATCCGTGTGAACGCCTGTAGCCTATGTAAAGGAACATTCTTATCATTCTTAGTTAGTGAGAAAATAAGACCTTCCTATTGCTTAACTCGCTAGAGTCAGTATGAGCGACACAACACACTGTTGAAAAATAAGTCCCCGACTTCTAACCGACTTAATTGGCGGACTTCATTAAAATCTAAATATAGGATAACGCACAAATTTTCAACAACGTGTTGTGTCGCTCATACTGACTCTATTTTAATCATTTAGGTTGATAGATAGTATATTTATAGATTCATTTTTGTGAAAATCTCAAAACCAATATTTTCACTTGTTTTGTCTATAGCAATTACGCCTGTCCATCCTCGTGGGTTTTCTCCGGGTCCTCCGGTTTCCTCCCACTGCTAAAGACCCCTACGCGCGAGCAAATTACTGAAATAAAATTAACCATATGTTAGTCCCGAAATGACCTAGTTTGTGTCGAGTGGACGTTAAACCCCATTTCTCTCTCTCTCTCTCTATAGCAATTAGACTTTGCGCATTCCGACTCATTTAGCCATAATGGGTCACAAATGATTATGGTTTATTGACAAGCCTTGAAATAATAATATTATAAGCCTGTTTGGCAAAACTTTGTGCAAAACACATTAAAATTATACCAAGAAAATTACAGAATGACAGAATGACAAAATGACAGAATTGTGTCTGAAAAGACTGGATTCACCCCTGTCAGTGACTGTGACAGGTGACTTATTTATCAGCTACATTAGAAATTGTTTTCTTGTGGTGCCAGAAATGGTTATATTTTCCAGACTGTACATATCAGTAGGATATATATTACTATTACCTACCAGTGCCTGTAATTTACTTTTAATTTCATATTTGTAATTTCAGTGCGTCATCAGAACAAAGTATTGCGATTACAAACAGTTGGAACTCTTTAACCTTTTCAGAATCAGAAAATCAGATATCAAGACAGATTCCAGAGGTAGTTGACGTATAGTATATTATAGTTATACCAATATTATTTGTTCTAAAAACAAGTGCTATGTTAGCATCGTATTAGTTCTGTGTAAATGGTCTCCTATAGCAACCTGCATGAATTTCAACCCCATTTCATTTTGTACTACATTCTGTACTTTAACTTATTTGTACTGATCTAAATCATAATATATTCGATGAGACGAATATCAAGGTCCCATACATATCACTGGTAGCATGTTAAAGAACCCCTGGCTGTATGGCCGCTCTCCAGACAAAATTTCCACATAGCCACATTGGCGTAGAAAAGTAGTATGTTAAACCCCATTTCATTTCATTTATTTCCGTGCAGTTAGTGGAATGTAATGAAATTAAAGTGCAACTCTATATTGTGCTGCTGTTTTCTCTTGGGAAGAAGTGCAAATTAAAAAAGACACAGTACTGTACTTTATAATAATGATCTTAAAAATTCTTAAACCATAAGAATTATCATTAATTAACACACTGTCATATTTTCTTTGTAGCTTTCTTCAGCCAAATTTCAGTTTTCTCTTTGGCATGATTTGAAGAATTCAGAAATTAAAGGCAACCAACTGAAGGCTCCTCGTATTAGAATAGGTTAGTTGTCTTTATACAAATAATAAAACCAGACATCATTGGATCCAAAGTGTTTCACAGGTAATGCGAAAGCCTTCTTTTAACACTGTACAATACAACTGACCTTTAATTAAGATCAAGCCCAGTATAGTTTTGCGTATGATGTCGCTTCATTTGCCGTCTAAAATACATGCGTTTTTTTACATCGAACAGGATTTTCCGGTGTGGTTTCCCCTTGTCAGTAGTGCAGGACGGTGGGCCTGATAAGAACAGCTGTCTAGTTGTTAGGATGGGACGAAAACCAAGGTCCTGTGCACACATTGGCGTGCATGTAAAAGATCCCTTGGTAGTTGGAATTTTATATGAGTAGGCCTTGGTGCCACTGTCTTGCAAGTAAAAGGTTCCCCGGCAGTTGGAATTCGATACAAGAGGTGGCCATAGTGCCGCTGCCTGGGCAAAATTTCCCTCATAGCACACTGTATGGTGTATACCCGTCATCATTATCCCAGTCGGAGCAGAACCGAAGGACGTTAACCCCAATTTCATTTCATTTCATTTCATTTCATGTTTGTTGATTCCTAAGAATTGCTAACTGGAGCAATGGTTTAAAACTGGATTTCAGAAGCCAAAAGCTACTAGTTAGAAGAAAAACTGTTAGAAATCAAAATCTAATTTAGGGTCTAAGAATAATTTTTGAAATGTATTCAAAACTTGTTCTTAATTTAAATATTATCTGTTAATATATAGGTCCAAATGAAAAGGACAAACCACTGTATTTTGGTGATGATTGTGATACAGATATAGAATCAGATCATCATGAATTAACTGGAAAAGAAAAAACAAAGCATCGTGATGCATTGGAAAGTTGGGAAAAGGCTGAGGTTTGATATTTTAAAAGAGATTAACTCATTTAGGGCTGACAAGGAAAGACAATGTTCTTTCGTATTGTTTATAACAGTAGTATTGAATATTGGGAGGCCAAATGTTCTAAATAATAAGACCTGGGTAGATAGTAGATTACCTGCCTTACCTCTGTTTTCTGTTGATAGTCTGTTTACTCACACTTCCAAACATGTACCCCTACATGCAAGAGAAATAATGAAATATATATATACCAAGTTAGTTTAAAAGACCTGGATAGTGTTGAGATGATGTTGAACCCTATTTCCCAGTGGGAGAAACTGTTGCCCAGTCAGTAAGATGCTGGTTAGATAACCGGTGTTGGCCGAGAAAGTTCCTCAGGATTTGCTAGAGTGGTTTCCCCTTGTCAGTGATGTAAGATGGGGGAACAGAATAACCAAGGCCTTGTGTGCACATTGGCATGCATATAAAAGAACCGATGACAGTTGGAATTCGAAAAATAAGAGTAGGCTGTAGTGCTCCTGTCTGGGCAAAATTTCCCTAAAAGCACATTGTATGGCGTATATGCCTGCCTTCATTAGCCCAGTCGGTGTAGAACAGTAAGACAATAAACCCCATTTCATTTCTTAGTGTCTCTCTATTAAAAAGACGCTTACAATTGATGTTTATAATTTTTTTTCAGTTGGCAAGTTTTGGATACCAAGAATTACAGAATGGTTATCAGAAGAAGAATCTATATCGTATTCTGGCAAAATTAAAAAGTGTAAAACACCTTAATCTTGCTCACAACCAGATTACAAATATCAATTCTTATTCTTTTCCACAGTAAGTTAGAGATGTTTTTTTCTTTTTAACCTCTTTGAGTAAGGTCAAAAACATATGACACTTATTCTGGTAGACATGGGTTGTGGAAACTATTAATGCAATCTACTTCAAGAAAACAATAATTTGACTGGCATAATTCTGGTTAAACGAACATAGATAGTGTTACTGTTCATGTTTTTGTTTGTCTCGCTAAATATGTGTTATAGGTCAGTATCCACATCTCTCTAAAGAAGTAATATTGTTTTCTTAAATACAAAGTTTGAAAACTCTATTTGTTAAATAGGTAGACCACAATAATGTTTGTTTATAGTAATTAATGGTACAGAGAGATAAACAATAGTCATTATTCAAGAATACTGGAGCTTAAACTGTTTGAATTAGTAAAAAAATATACATATTCAACATTTAGTTGATTAAAAGCTAATTAATGATGACAAATTATTCTGGTGTGCATAAACATAATGCTGCTGTAATGAACACATAAACTCAGTTTTTAAACTGTTGAGTAAAATGGAATATTATCTTTTCTTGCAGTTGTGAATATCTGAATTTAAACAACAACTTTATTGCATCCTTTAAGGTACTGTAAATCAGAAATTAAATGTAGTTGTCATAAAGAGGATTTCATTTTCATTTAAACATTTAAGAATGATTTAAAAAAAAGAATAACCCATTACCACTGCCATCTGCTTAACTCACCATGTCACAAACAACAATGTCTTGTCACCAGCTAGAACTGGTTGATACATACTACTTGAAGAACAAGGCCATGCTTGTTATTTAAAGAGGAACTGAACATTTTCCTTATTTGAATTTGGGCGGTGTTATGCAAAAGAGTCCCATTTGCTTTGATTAAAGAATTCATGAAGATTGATATGTAATATTATTCTAACCGAAATCTATTAATAGAACATAGCCATTTATAGATTGTTTAATAGAACATCATTACAAATATAGTATAGCTCCTTTTGATTATTAGACAAGTCTGATCTAAGTGCGTTGGATCACTGCCATCTCTGAAAATGCATCTCGCGTAACAAAGCTATGTGCGTTAGGTCATTCTGTAATACTATAGGTTTTATTTTTGTTCTATGAAAGATGCTCTGTTTAATATATTGAAGTGGTTTTAAAAACAAATGGGTGACAACAAAAATGGGCTAAGTAGGTATTTTGCAAGATTCATCTTTCTTAGACTAACTCACAGACAGTTCCTACCACCATCAATTGCTAAAAGTAGGGTACTATCGTCCAGTCATCTCGTGCACAGATTAGTCCAATTAAGTAGAATAATGTTGACGTAAAGCGGTGCCCAATCGAAACACTTTCCCAAAAATGGTAATTGCCCTGCCCTAATAGCTGACGTATCTATACTTTCTATATAAGAAAGAGCGAGGTTAAATTTCCCTTCAGACATCATTAAGTATTCTCAAAAGGACGTTCCCACAGCCTCCTCGGCTGAGAGGCTGGGAAACAGACATCATTTAGACATCCTAGGAGAGACATCATTTAGAGATCCTAGGAGAGACATCATTCCGAGTTCCTAGGGGAACGTTATACCCACAGCCTCCTCAGCTTAGAGGCTAGGGTGAAGACATATTATTTAGAGATCCTAGGATAGACATTGTTCAGTGTTCCTAGGTGAACATCATATCCACAGCCTCCTCGGTTTAGAGGCAGGAATGGCTCTCGCCACAGAATGAACACACACGAAGTGATAGAGTATGGCGGTATATTAGATTCAAAATTCTAAAATGCTTTCGTCTAACTTCTAACTTCTGTTCATGTATTTTTTAACTTCTATTCATGTGCATAAAACTGCGAAGACACTGGCAATAGTTGACAAATGTCTTTTAAATTTTGAAATATTTTGTTTTATTATTTACAGTGCCTACCAAAAGTATCAAAGATTTGCTATATAACTTTAAAAGACAACGACATCATGGAATTAGATGGATTAAAAGCTTTAAGATCAACATCTATTGAAGAATTATACCTTAATGGTAATCCCGTCACTTTCACTGCAGGTTATAGACAAAGGTAATGTTTATTTTTCAGGTTTTGCCACAATCTTGAATTAAATTTAGATATATTTTTACTGATTATTCTTATGGTCACCTAATTAACATCTAAGAAAAAACTAAATACATTTGACATTCATTTGACGGAAATGCATTTCAAAAGATTTCTGGTAAGTTTGTGTACCAAGGCTCTTGATTGGTCAATAGATCTTGAGCTGACCAATCATATTCTGTGTATAACTGAACAAACTCCATACAGGCATGATGTTGTGGACATTCAGGGAATAGTACATACTTATCATCAATCAGTCATTAGTGTGCTTCACTGTTAAGGTTCCCCAGATAAAAAGTATCTCCAAATATAGCAATAATTAGGCCGTACAAAAAAAAAATCATATTCTGGTTCTCAGATATGTCACTTAAAGATACATTATGTATGATTTAAATAAAGACCTGGCTATTATAGGTCAAAAATAGATAATTTAAAATGAATATATTGAAAATTTGGTTCAAATTACTTTATTCTGAGCCAAATTATCACTGTTTGTAGTTTTGACAATATGTAGACGTTATCCACAATTTGTTTGTGGACATTCTTCCGGTTACAATTTTTAACCGATTTTGATGAAACTTGAAATACAGGCCTATCTCCTAAAGATCTTGGTGCCTTTAGATATTGGCATGTATCGTACGATAACTTCATGGATTGTTGCTCCCGATTGTACGAAAAAGCACATTTTTACCTGTAGCTTGTTGAACTCTAGAAGTCACAATTTTCATGTGATTTTGATGAAACTTGATATGCATGTTTATAATCCAAAGATCTTGGTTCCTTTCGATATTCGCACATGTCGGATCGTACGAAAATTAGCCTTTTTAGCTTGTGGTTCCTCAAGAGCTCACCATTATTGTCCGATTTAAAAAAACGTTTAAATATATCACCATTCCACCATAATGAAGGTTGAATTCGAATTTCGGGAAAATTGAAACGAAACTGCCCAAAAGATGGCCGCTCTTTGTACGCAAATACAAACATCTGGTATATCAAGGTTGTGGACCCTCTAGAGGTCACAATTTTTATCGGATTTTGATGAAACTTAAAAATATATCTTTATATACCAAAGATCTCGTTCCCTTTCGATATTTTCACATTTCAGACCAAAACTTTCTGGATTATGGTCCCTGATCGTACGAGAATGATGAGATAAATGTAGTGCCTTGAAATGTGATGTTTATTAGAAGTCATTTAGTACAGTTGTGATCCTTTAACACAGAAATGAAAACTGCCCTCACGCATCAGATTTTTTTCATGGATTTTCAGAGGACCATAATTTTTTTGTATGTCTCTGTTGTGTAATCTTAGGGTTGACCATTCATCGAAGTTAGTTCATCTTTCATTGGCTGAAAGTTAGGGTTTCAATTACAGACAATGTTTTTACAAATTGTTATATTATGGTAAATATAATGCTATACATTTAATTTAATATAGTTTTTCCTTTTTGTAATTTTTTTCAGAGTGTTTTCTGTATTACCAAATTTGAAAGTATTAGATGGTATTTACCAGCTTACAACAGATACAGAACCTGTAGAGGCAATGGAAGCTCCTAAATCATGCTTAATATCATAATCTAATGGTACAGGGGAGTTATATTGTTTAATGACTGACGACAGATTTATATGATCTGATTTATGTCCTATGCTATATGAACAGCACTTGATTGTTTTGATTTTCATGATCACTAAAATCTCATCTTTTATCATAGATCTTGGATTTCATTTTCTTTTAAACATCAACACTGGCTGAATCAAGTATCTGTGTCTAATTATGATTGGTTTACAAGTGCTTTAACAGAAGGCCACAAAATATTTTTAAGAAAAAAGGATTATGAGTGACAACCTCACTGTGTTTGTCTAAAGAGAAATGAGGTAAAAGCCACATGAAGTGAGCTATTTGATTGACCAGTTGAATACTGGGGCCTTATTCACAAAAAACTTAAAAGAATACAGCCTTTTCATTTGCTAAGAGCTAAAATTTGTACTAGAATTATAAAGCTAAACCAAATGAAAAGGCTGCATCCTTAAAATATTTTAGTTTAATTAAGTTTTCATGAATAAGGCTCCAGGTGTACTATTTAGTCACAAACCCTAGGGAGAGGGGTTTTACATAGGCTAAGCCTGTTCCCCAATCCCATTCAGTCAACCTGAATAAAAAATATGGTTTGAAAAAAAACAAACCCCGAAACACTGCTGTGTGTATGCTAAAACCTATGTCTTTTAAGGTTGTACAAAATAATGAAATGTTAACTGAATGTATTTTTGATGCATGGAGTGCTTATCACCTTCAATCATATTTTTTAAAACAACAATTTAATTCTGGGATCTCCAAGTTTATTATTGAATTTATTAAGACCCCTAATATAAAGATCTGATTAAACCTTCTTAAAGGGATAAATAAAAAAACTATATTGAAGCTTCTACTCTACACCCTTCATACTACATGTATCTTACTTGAGTTGTAATCAAAAACACTGAATGCTTGAATGTGATATATTATTTAATTCACATTATTTTATACCAATTATGTCATGTACTATTTTTATTAAGTCTGTGAACATGATGCAATTTACTATTTGTTATATATTTTTTTCAAACACAAATCTTTGTCTTTTGACTCTCTTGATGTTACATGTATTTTGGGATAATTGCATTTTAAATCAATTTTGAGTGTTATTGATATATATAATAAGTGTTTTTTTATGATAAGAATAAACAAATACAATTGTAATTTTCTTCTTTGAATTATTTATATCATAATAAATCTTCGAGTATTTACAAGATACAGGGGTGATGACAATATACTGCCACATGTTCAAAGAATGCACATCTAGATGTAAGGAAATGAAATGGGTTTTAACTCCTACTGTTCTGCTCTGACTGGGCAAATGAAGTGGATATATACCATGCAGGGTGCTGTAGACGAAATTTTGCCCTGACAGCGGCTCTACAGCCTACTCTTACATTGAGTTCCAACTGTCAAGGGATCTTATACGCCAATGTGTACACAAGACCTCAGTTTTTCATCCCATCTGAACGTCTATATGTTGTACGTTGCTAGGCCCTCCGTCCTGCATCATGGACAACCATTCTGGAAAATCCTGATAAACTTTCTCTGTCAACACCGGACTTTCAGGTTAGAGAGCCAAGTCTTATATTACTCACTGAGATCTGGCCTTTATAATGTTTTCAAAGTTGAAGGTGCTGTTATCTCGTGATTACTACCATAGCAATCCCAGCCAGTTTGAATTTTTTTTCTAAAACACATCTGTACTGTGGAGTTTTAAACCAGGAGATTGGTTATGGCAATATACCTTTATGTGAAATCCTACTGTTCTGCACCGACTGGGCTAATGAAGAAGGGCAAACAGTGTGCTATGAGGGAAATTTTACCTGAACAGCAGCACTGCGGCCTATTCTTATATTGATGAACACGCCAATGTGTACATGGGCCCTCCATTCTGCACCACTGACAAGGGGGAACCATGCCGGAAAATCATGATGAATTTTCTCGGTCAACACAAGGATCGAACATGGGACCTCCAGGTTAGCGAGCCAATGTCTTACTTTCTGAGCCACTGTGGCTCCCGTATGTGAAATCAACATGTGGTCATGTCAAAACAATAATTCTTTCTTCAATACAATATTTATTGTAGTATCTAATTTCAAATCTTATAATCACATAAAAATTTGGATGGAATTTCAATATATCAGTCAGTATTTCTGTAAAATAACCCTAAGACTATAAAACCAAAATCAAACTTCAACATTTTTTTAAAAAATATACATGTTAAAAACCTTTAAAATAGAATCAATATGCAATTTAAGTTAGCTTCAATATATACAATATAAATTATCATTTCATATATCACAGTGTACATTGTTTCATTTAATTTACTTTGATTATAATAGAAAAGATATCTAATAGGTTTTTAAAAAAAAAAGAAAGTGACAATTTGATTTGAAATGTTTTAGTGGTGTTTAGAAAGGCATTATCACTGTCACCACGAATATGTATAAATTTAATCAATTTTGGTTCGTATCATATTCAAAATAACCTTATAGACCGGAGGAGGGGGAGGGGAGGAGGGGTCCATCAAATGGCCTGCCAGTATCAACAACTATACTACATTGCAACAAACTTGAACCACAATATGGGTCAATAAAACAGATCCATAAATAAACTCTGTGCGAACATAAATATATAACTCTATTATAATAACACAAAAATATCAACAGCAGTCATAATTAATCACTGAAAAAAAAAATAATTCAGTGACACATACATACTTCATACATTTAAATCACAACACACTATAAATAAACCCTATTAAAATCATAAATATTAACATGAATATCATATATTTGATTGTCTAATTAAACCCAAACCTAAAGAAGTTTTCTTGAAAATAACATGGGAAACATTACCCCAGAACAAAGGCTCAATTTTAAAATTATGTCTACTTTTGAATGATACTTTTTAAATTACCATCGATTTTTATGTACACCCATACAAATGACATATCCATTAAATGAAGGAGGTACTGTTTAATTGCAGTCAAATTTCATTCACTCGATACCAAATGGAATCATGCATAGAATATATACTTCCTAGCCTAAACCCAAATACTCTGCTTAAATTGATGAGACCATCCAAGTAAACATTGGAATTATATGTGCCTTTATACTAAATCATATCTTTTTCAAATAAAAACAAGGTTGTCTTGTCTTCCAGTCCTGTCTGTTTAATAGTTAACCTTGGATTTTCAAATATTCTTCTTGGCACATTAACAGCTAAATAATAATCTTGAGACAATGTTTCCCCACATTCTGTTTCTGCATACTTCAGCACAGAATGAAGGGTTTCTGTTTCCTTAAAGCTTTTAGTTATTCTTGATCCTGTAGTTGGAATTTTAATGGCCAGAGTAATACATTTGCCCTCATTGACCTGTCTTTTTTCTGGTTTTTGTTCGTCATTTTTCACAGAGGGACTTTTAGTGTTTTTATTTTCACCAACAGGTTTTTTATTTATCGCCGAGTCTTCATCTTTACCATTATTTGTAACCAGACTCATTTGCTTCAGGTCCCGGGAAACTTTGTTAACATTCTGTTCGCTTTCCCTTCTTTCTCTATTTTTATTATGGTTAATATTGATGTCTGGTAGTGGTTTGTATTTTGAAAGGGATGATGAAGGTCTGGATGGTCGTCTGGCAAATGGATCAACATCTGCTATGAGTAAGAGAAAATCAAAAGATTTAACAATTACAATATCTAATAAACATAGGTCATGGAAAGTTAGGTGGGTGTGTGAAATAGTTTTATTTGACGTCCGCTTCCACCGAAGTGGTATCAGACAAGGGTAGGTGTATGGAAGGATAACATTGGCAATATTATTTCAATGTTCACAGTGCAAAATACAATTTGCAATTTCCATTGCTCCACAGTACCAATGTCACAGTGTAAAATACAGAATACACTTTTCAATAATAGAAATACAGTATAATAGTTATTTTGCACATTACACTTCTCCATTCCGCATTTTGCATAATAGACAAATGCATAATAGAACCTTGCATAGTAGAACATATACCTTATATGGGATGTACGTCGACGTCATTTGCATACGGAAAAAAATCCGGACTATGCTGGAAATTAATAATTTATGTGATCAATCTACAAGATCAAGGTCATTAAAAGGGGGCCAATACTCATATTTACAGACCTTTGGAAAACGATCAATGAAATAAAATGAAATGGGGTTTAACATCCTACTGTTCTGCTCTGACTGGGCTAATAAAAATGGGCATACACCATGCAGTGTTCTGTGAGGGAAAATTTGCCTGGGCAGCGGTGCTGTATATGGCCTACAGTACTCTTGTATCGAATTTCAACTGCCAAGGGATCTTTTACGTGCATGCTAATGTGTATACGGGACCTCATTTTTTCGTACCATCCAAATGATTAGACAGTTGTCCTTGTCAGGCCCTCCGTCCTGCATCACTGACAAGGGGAAAGAAAAACGATCAAAGTCAGGTGGTATGAAACTATTAAATGACAGGGGTGAGGATTATTTAAAGTAAACATACATGTACCTGTCTTAATACGAATTATAGATATCATGTTAGGTATCATTTCTCTTTTCAAATATTTAAATAATTTTCTGGCACATTTATATTTACATACTTTGAAAAAATGAAATGAAATGGTGTCTAAGGTCCTACTGTTCTGGTCCAACCGGGATAATTTTGCCCGGGCTGCGGCACTATGGCCTACTCTTATATCAAATTTCAACTGCAGTGCCAAGGGATCTTTTACATGCACAGCAAAGTATACACGGGACCTTGGTTTTTCGTCATATCGGATCGACTGGACAGCTGTCCTTGTCAGACCCTTTTTCCTGCACCACTGACATGGTGAAACCATGTCGGAAAATCCTGATATACTTTCTCGGCCAATGCGGGGATGGAACACGCGACCTACAGGCTAGTGAGCCAGCATCTTACCCACTTGGTCACCCTGGCTCCCTACTTAAAGAAAAAGATTGATGTTGAAGTGAAAGGTGGGGGAGGGGGGGGGGGTATGAACTAAAAATATGAGGCTAATCGAACGTGGTACTGTGGAGCAATGGAAATTGCAATTTGTAAAATTAAAATACGTATTTTGAACTGCTGATGCAGTTTGTACAGTGAACATTGAAATAATATTGGCAAAGTTATCCTTCCATATCGGTGGGTTTTGTGGGGCCCTTTCATACCCACCAAATGAATCCTGCTTAGCAAGTTTTAAAATACTTCTACTGTGTTGTGTAGCCTAAACACAACTTTTAAAACTCAAAAAACTCCAACAATAAACAATTATTTTTAAAAATTCCAACAAAGACTCTGTCGGTCCTACATTGACTACCGAAGTTTAACTTTAAAATGGATCTGGGGGCTAGCCGTAAGCGTCCACTGCGCAGTACAGTCCCGGGCCTGTAGTGATACAGACTTCACTCAAATTTGAAAACAATCAGGAATGTAACCCAGAGAAATCATTGTGTAATGCCAGCATGAGTCATGATCTGCTACATGTTACGAGAAATATGAATGTAAACATATTGAAGTAAAAATAAACTATACAAGTAAAAACATCGGGGAAATGTATAAAAAAACAGGTAGTCTAAAAACTAAATGCTTCCAGTCAATTGAGAAACATTTTAGTATTCAATAGAAACGAGGCATATTGAACTCAATTAGGGCACATGTTCCACCCACCACAAAAACATAGCAAAAAACAAACAATACTGAATACAAAGAAGCAAATGAGAAAATGTAGACCGTCTCGAAATACAGCCGTCTGCTGAATGAAGTAAACATACAAATTCAGTAATTTATTGAACATTTTTCTTACCATATCCTTCCAATGAATCATTTGATGTCAGAGATAATGATGCAGAATATTTTCGCCGTCTTGATGACCCAGGGCGTGAATCTTTACCCTTACTTAAACTTAATGGGGGTTTAGGGGGTGGGGTTGGCGGAAAATGTCCCTCTTCAGATTGATTAGACCAAAGAGTGGGACTTCCTGGTGGTGCCAATATGATCTCTTCATTACTGCTTTTTGAAAAGCGTCTTAAACTTTGTCTAGCCATCATGTCGCTGTTGAACTGGAGTTAAAACTGATAAAGATTCTTCCATAATCTGTTTTCTCTAATCTGAAAAATAACAAAAATACTATTGAGAAAAATATGCCACATTCCCCTTTAGGCTGTATTAGTAAGCACGTATAAGCTAATTATATAATACAATAAAGGATAAAATATGCTGGTTATATGTTTAGGATAACAAGTCTTTGGACTAGAGCAGAGCCTCACCAGCACTAACCGTCACAAAATTTCAGAAACATCTTTCAACCTATTCCTGAGATATATATCAGAGGCTGCCGAGCGGTTTCCGAAGTGGGGGGGGGGGGGGTCTGATAATTGAGGAAAATTTTGATGTAATTTTTAATTTTTGCATTTTGAGTGACTTATTAACATATATGGAAACGTCGCCGAGATCAACCTGGGACACTATAAAAAGCCAGCATACTATATTCACAAAATGTGTGTGTGGGTTCAGTCGGGGCTTTAAACATGCATTAATAAACAGTATGTGTTTTTCTAACTAAAAAAAAGGCATCATATCTACCATGGAAACGAATTATAAAAAGTTCAGCCATTTTGATTAAATATATTCATAAAATTCATGCCAAACATTTTTCCGAAACGAAATAAAACTCACGAAGTCCATATTCAGTACAAAAAAATATACATTTTAAGTGGTTCGAATATATTAATTATGTAGTTATCTAACTGCAATATATATTATTAGGTGGGTATAGTAATCTCTGTATATATTTCTCAGTTTCTCTATTTTTTTATTTTCTGCAACTTGCGTTACCGAATTTGGACAACATGTATTTACTGCAGAATTGCAATATGTCAGCCCCCATGTCAAGGAGTAGATAATTTCTATTGGCAACTGGATAATCCTTAAAATGCTTCTGGATTTGATCAGAGGAAACGAACTTTCTTCAGTTGTACTTGTCAAAGGTTCTGTATCTAGTCCTATCTTTGTAGACTAGTGATTTCGGTCCGCATCGTACATTTGCTATTCTGCTTCTTTCACTTTCAACATGAAGTTATAAATTATAGCATGGACCTGTATATTGTCCATGATCATAGTTATACAATTATTGGCATTTACGTACATGCTGAAATGTCTGACACATTCTCTAAAATATCTGACACATTCTCTAAAATATCTGAAACATTCCCTAGCCTGATAATCACGGTTTTATGGTGGGTATATACTCTTCAAAAAAAGTAGGGGATATTGAAATGCAAATACCTATGCAGGTTGTGATATGATAAATAGTTATGGACACTTGACATGCTTTGAGAGTATATGTTCACAGATGAAGAAGTTATCGCCCCAACAGAACCACTGAGCTGCATGTGCGACACGCAGTAGGACCATAGGCCTACACGTGGGAGGGGTTCATTGTCAAATTTGACACTTCAAGGAAGGGTTGATGAAAACTGCCGCAGGTTTATCCTATCCATGTTTGCTTTCCTATCGGTTCTTGCATAAGATTTACTGTTAAGCTTATCTTTGCTCTAGTGTGTTTCGTTTAATTTGATCGAGAGACGTGTTCGTCAACGTCAATGTCAACCAACAACACTGCAAGAATTAGCCGTGGCACTGCAAGAGGAGTGGGTCAGATTGCCCCAAATCGTGATTGGACAGTTGATTAGGAGCATGCCACTCGGATTGCTGAATGTCTGAGGATTGGTTGAGCAATTACTCATTATTAAGACAAAAATCAAAAACGTTCATTTTCACTTTTGACAGAGTATCTCTTTGCGAGTGAAAAGGGGCCGTCAGATAAGCCGCCCATATGAAGTTGCTTATGTTCATGTGTAGGCAATTGGCCTGTTATTAACATACACTGGTTACCTCTAATAATAACAGCAGTGCATTTCCGCAGTTTTGTATTGTTTCTGAATATCCCCTACTTTTTTTGAAGAGTATATAATAAGGCTTTTAAAAAGCCAGGGCTCTAGAGTCAGTTCCTAGGTGACGTTCCGTGGAACATGCAAGGATATGCCAAGTTTGACACCTGAAAACTGTAAACACTCCATTGTGTTAATTTAACAGAGAGAGAATGAGTATCAGAGCCACTGAATTGCAACTTATTCAGTCTTAGATCCTCTATAGCGTGTTATTGTGTTATGATGCTAGGTGGATAACGAATAATCTGTTTTCCAGAGTTATCTTTCAGTGTGTACCAGATTTTTTAAAAACAGACTATGCAGGATTTCCTGCTGGTGGGTGTTTTCACTTTAGTTATGTTCAAATAACCAGACTGACAAAAATATATTTTATGATTCGTTTCGTTACATTCATGGAATGGCTAAAGAATGAATTTTGTAGTTTCTTTGACACCTAAATTATATAACATCACTTCTGGGAATTTACAAATACATTTAGCTTGATGGAAGCACACTTTAACAGTATTTATGGAAGATGAAATATTATTGTACAATTATGATGTATAACAAAGCTTCTGCTTTCAGTACTTTTATATTTATCAAAAATAAAAACAATGTGGGGTATAAGAAGAAATCACTGGAGCAGGAAAAACTGTAATATTAATAATTATCATTTTATATTTATTGGGGGGTTGGATAGCCAAATGATTAGCACGTGCGCGCTGTATCATACAGCCTGTCATTGAGTCAACTGGCGGGGTTTCGTTTCCCCGGTGTACGTGACAAGGAGTAGGGTTGCCTGTCCAACCTCGTGGGTTTTCTCCGGGTCCTCCGGTTTCCTCCCACTGCTAAAGACCCCAACGCGCAAGCGAATTATTGAAATAAAATTGAACCATGTGTTCGTCCCGAAATGACCATGTTTGTGTCAAGTGGACGTTAAACCCCATTTCTCTCTCTCTTTATATTTATTGTTTCTTTTTTCATATTTCAGACAGCGTAGACTGTATTGATGCATCAAATGTTCATGTTTTATATAATTTTCTTCTAAATCAAATTCAAAGGTTTGTACAATAATGGCATCAAAAAATATATTATAGTCCATTTGCTGATTACACTATTTTGCTTGAATACACTATTTTGCCTATAACGTTTTTTAGGACTTCGAATTCTGTCTTATGGTTTGGATTGTTCGTACTTGGTTTTATTTTATTGAGATGATGAAAATGCAACCCAGGGTCGGTCTACATATTCCAGTAATGTTCAAGATTTTGTTCAAAATCAGTCAAATTTTTCTGAGATCTTTCCATTAAACCAGTCTGACCGTCCATATTTATAATGCACTCTTGATTCGGCAGCAATCGGTGCAGAAATGTAGGATGTGCCATTTTTGTATCCTGCTGAAGCTATCAAACTTTGCATGATCATAAACTTACTGCGCCCAGATGACAGCTGATGCAGTTGTAACAAACATTATCAGCAAGTAAAAAGTTCAAAGTCTAAAAATTTGGATGAAATCATTTATGAATTTATTTGTAACATCAACTTACTCTGTATGATTTTTAGATTTGAGAAAGTTATATTATTGTGTTACGAAGACTCTCCAGAATCCTACACGCATGCACTTCCAGAAAATATTGAAGCAAGGTAAATTATAAAACCAACTAAAAGCAGATAGACTCTGATATGACTTATATTGTTACGGCTGCATTTGTGAATGAAAACCTACAATTGGTAATCATCCAGGATATATCAGATTTTCTACCATTGCTAAAAGCCACATTTGAAAGAAATAAGTAAAAATCAACTGATCATTATAAAGTTCAGAAATCATTAACAGTCTTTAAACATACTTTATGCAAGAGCTAAATCTGCCAATTGCAGGTCTTTCTTTATCTAAATTATTAATTAGACATTAATTAACTTATTCAGACCACAATCAACTCTTGATGTCATCGCTAGCCTGTGATATTTACTGGATTATAATCCGATCTGCTGCTCAACACTCATTCATGATTAAATCAAAAAATAGATAATCGAGACTATATTTTTTTTTTATCATACCGACTTTAGTAATGATGATCGAGGCTAGGCCCAAAATTCAATTGCTACATTCTCAATTCAGAGTGGATCAATTTGACTGAAATTGTCAGCAAATTCCCTTTACATTATCTAGTTTATAACTATTATAGTGAGAACTGCCAACTCTTTTATCTAATCTCCCGTAATGTATCTTTAAGTGAGTGTTAAGCCCTAGCTGTTCTCTCTATTCATGAACACCAGATTCAGTTGGGGTTTCAATTATTTTTGAGATTTCCTGATTTATATTTGCTTTCTAGATTAAGTTTAAATTACATTGCAAGTAAACTGTTACTTAGTCAATGAGATGAGTTAAAAAAAACCAAGGCCCAACATTGTAAGCTTAATCATAGATGTGCACAGTCGAGGACCTATGACAGTTGTATTATGTTGATTTGTTGGCAAGCATAGTGTGTCAGCTAGTGAAAACCTACAATAAAAGTAACTTATTAAAGTGCAATTTCTCAATCCGAGGGTTGAATTTGCCATTCTTAACAGGGTAATAATAATGGTATGAATGACAAGGGTTAGGTTGGTAACTCTAGAAGTCAGTGCTGTTGCTTCTTCGATAGAAAAGCTGATGCACATGATAACAGTAATGGTTTGGTTTTATAGATAGTAACACTTAAGACCTCCTTTGACCATTACAAACCACCTGATTCTTGGAAATAGATGTGGCACTACCAAGAACTAGTACATGGAGAACTATTCACAATTTTGGACTGTCTAGGGAATATACTGGTATCAATATTTACCTGTAGCAAGTGCCAAAGGGTTAATACATCTAGGTGGTTGCTATCTATTCCACTTTTTACCATATTATTGTACAAATTTATTTTTCTATTATTCTGTTATTGAGTTTGTGACTTTTCAGGATTGTTTCTCTGGATGGCACCAAGCATCCACATACATGGTTAGATTTTCATGATTTTGATAAAACTGGTGTTGATGGAAACATTAAAAAACTTTTAGAAGATAATTTACCTCAAGGCAATGGGAACATTGGCATTGTTATTGACAGTCTAAGCTTCCATCTTTTATTGCGTCCACCATCTTTTACATGCCAGTTTCTACGTAAATTATCTACTTCACAAATCAAAGGTAGGCTACTTTAATAAGGTATGATTTTTCTGCCACAAGAGCAGTTTCTGGAATAGTGATTTGGAATGGTTTCACTGTCTTTATATAATATATTTATCTACATATATTTATTAATTTTGTATCTTTGATGTAATTCAGGGAGCCGCTGTGGCTCAGGAAGTAAGACGTTGGCTCGCTAACCTGGAGGTCCTGTGTTTTGCCAAGAAAGTTCAGTGTAATTTTCTGGTGTGGTTCCTCCTTGTCAGTGGTGCAGGAAGAATGGCCTGGCACGGGATAGTACAGTCGTTTGGACAGGATGAAAATCTGAGGTCCTGTGTACACATTGGCGTGCACGTAAAAAAAACCCCTTGAAATAAGATTAGGCTGTTGGGGCGAAAATTTCCCTCAGCACACTGCATGATGTGTTGCCGTCTTCATTAGCCCTGTTGGTTCAGAAAAATAGCATGTTAAACCCCATCCATTTCATATCTGACACAAATTGATTATTGTAAAACAAGAGATTAGAGGCTTGATGGGGTCTAGTTATTTTATAAATCTATTCCCATATAGGTTATGATATAAAACAAATAGTATGTGGTATACATGGTGATATATTTGATGAGAATAGTTTAAGATTAGTAGAACATACAGCAAGTAGTGTATTAATATTGTCACCATCACAGATAACATCTCATACCAGTATATGTAGCTCTATACATCACAGAACTTCAGGAAAAGTCTTACGAATGGTAAGTTTTTGTCAAAGACCTCTTAGATTACTCTACCAGTATACATGTATCGCATTGTACACATGGTTACATTAATTTTTATATATCAGTATACTTTAGAGAGAGAGAAATGGGGTTTAATTTCCACTCGACACACACTAGGTCATTTCGGAACTAACATTCGGTTCAATTTTATTTCAATAATTCACCTGCGCATAGGGTTTTTGAGCAGTGAAAGGAAACCAGAGGACCTGTAGTAAACCCATGAGGTTGGATAGGTGACCGATCTCCTTGTCACGTACAGGTGGAGAGTCAAAACCTTTCCTCTTGACTCAGTGACAGACCTTGTGATTTAATGTGTATGCTTTAAACCATTCGGCCATCCAACAAATTGGGAGTGTACTTTGGAATTGTAAATTTCTTTTGTATTGTCTTCCTGTGATAACTAAAACAATGTAATAATTAAAAGTTGATATTAATATTGACATGATTATTACTCAGATGTTAAAGATTTCAATTATACAAAGGTGCTTAAATTGTATGCAGTAATTTTGTTGCTATAGTTCAGTGAAAGGGAGAAAATGTAACAATCTGCTATTCACAAGAATACTTTTATTATTGTCATGAGAGCAATGCAAAAGACAGAAAATTGCAGTGGTGTTTTGACTAACTCTTAACTTGCAGTTGAATTGTCAAGGGAACTTTTTTATACGCCCACAGTTTCATGAAAGATCTCGGTTCCTTTCGATATTGGCATATATCGGATTGAAACTTCATGGATTATGACCCCTGATTGTACAAAAAATCACGTTTTTAGCTTGTGGACACTCTAGATGAAATTTAGATGAAACTTGAATGTATGTTTATAACCCAAAGATCTTGGATTCTGCGATATCGAATCGCAATTTCCTGGATTATGGTCCCTGATTGTATGAAATATCACTTTTGTTATCTTGTGGACCCTCTAGAAGTCACAATTTGTATTCAATTTTAAAAAAAAAAACATTTAAATATATGACCGTTACACCTCAGTGAAGGCTGAGTTCGAATTTTGTAAAAATCCAACTGAAACTGCCAGTAATTAGACACACTCTTTGTCTGTCCTGCCCTATTCAAGTAGTTTGATACATTCCTTGAGAATTGTATACCTCTCTGTGCAGACTGCCTGTATGCCCAAACTTACTGCATTGACAAGACCCACGCCTTGTTTGGCACCTAAGCATGATTTGTGTGAATCTTGTTTGAGAAAGAGGGATCACGTGGGTAAGTGGCTGGCTCGCTAGCCTGGAGGTCGGGTGTTTGATCCCTGCATTGGCCTAGAAAGTTCATTCAGATTTTCCGGCGTGGTTCCCCGTGTACACATTGGCATGCCCATAAAAGATCCCTTGGCAGTTGGAATTTGATATAAGAGTAGGCCGTAGCGCTGCTGCCCGGATGGCGTATGCCCGTCTTCATTAGCCCAGGTTAGGAGCAGAACAGTAGGACGTTAAACCCCATTTCATTTCATTTTTGTTTGAGAAAACCTAAAGGGAAAGAGAACAGAACAGACATGATCAACAAACTTAACATGTGTTTTTTATTATTATTCTAGAATGAATATTTTAATGTAGATGAAAATAATATAGTGAAAGATCTGAGAGAAGTTAAATCTACAGCAGGTACTACAGAACCAGAAGAAAAATCGGTATGGCAACATTATTTTAAAAAAAATTTCTTTCATACATATTTTACTGTTTTAATTTTTAAACATACATTATGCAAGAGCTAAAACTGCCTATTGCAGGTCTTTCTTTAGGCCTGAAATGTTATCTTAACTATTAATTAGACATTTATTAACAAAACAAGACTATAATCAGCTCTTGATGGCATCGGGTAATCAAGATTTTAACTAGATTAGGACGGTTCGCCATTTCAATATTTTCATTATCAGTTTTTGAGCCATGATAGCAAGAATGAATGGTCAGCTCTTTATCTTACATAATGTATCTTTAAATATTATGCATCCAAATTTTGAAAGAATAAGCTGAAACCTTGTAATATATATTAAAATTGATGCAAAATTTAGCTGAATATTAAACTGTAAACAAATAATAGTGCAAAATCTGTTACATTGACTTCTTTGTGGATATCTAAATACAAGACTTCAAGGTTACTCACCTAAATTGAATTTTTTGTCCCCCGCCTTTCGAAGAAAGCAGGGGACTATTAAAATGGGTTCGTCCGTCTGTCTGTCTGTCCGTCTGTCCGTCCGTCTGTCTGTCCGTCACACTTTTTGGGACACAATAACTCTCTTCCTAATTGAGCTAGAATGTTCAAACTTGGTGTATGTGTTTATTAGGTCAATGCCTTGATGGAGTTCGAAGATGAGCATTTTCCGCTTAGGGTAAGCAGAGATAAGCAATTTGATTGGTTGATGCTTTGGGACACGATAACTCTCTTCCTAATTGGGCTAGAATGTTCAAACTTGGTGTATGTGTTGATTAGGTCAATGCCTTGATGGAGTTCGAAGATGAGCATTTTCCGCTTAGGGTAAGCAGAGATAAGCAATTTGATTGGTTGATACTTTGGGGCACGATAACTCTCTTCCTAATTGAGCTAGAATGTTCAAACTTGGTGTATGTGTTGATTAGGTCAATGCCTTGATGGAGTTCGAAGATGAGCATTTTCCGCTTAGGGTAAGCAGAGATAAGCAATTTGATTGGTTGATGCTTTGGGACACGATAACTTTAGTTCTAATTAAGTGAGATTGATGAAACTTGGTGTATAGTTTCATTACAGTAATACCTTGACTAAGTTTGATAATGAGCATTTTCTGCTCAGGGTAAGCAGAGCGATACGCAATTTGATTTTTATATGTGTCCTCTAATTATTTTCCTATTTCGGCGGGGGACATCAGCCTCACTGTTGGCTTGTTTATCCATGTGGTAGGTGTGTAAACACAAAAATTTAGTGTTACAAGGTATATAGTCAAATGATATGAAAACAAACACCAGAACATTAATACATTCCTTTTCAAATAAAACATGTGACTATGTGTGGATGTAAACTTCCCCCAAACAAAGGAATGGTATATCGACAATGGTAGCTGTCCTTAAAACTAAATAGCATACCTTAAGCAACAGTGGCAGCTATGCAAATCAAAATTATGGCATATTAAGTCAGTAAAATGACATTTTTGGCAAAGTGGTGAGTGTTGTGCACAGGCAGGGTATGCTCACTCTTTCTAGAACACCAGATATCACTATTACACAAACTCTGTTAGAGGGTTTACAAATTTACATTGTACCAGTAGTGTACAAACAACCCTTTTTGAATGGATATTATTCATGTATGTGCAATTAAGTCATTATCTACTTCAGTGAAGCAAACCATGAATAAAGCATTCCTCTTTAATGTAGCAACGGGTGCCGTGCACATGCCAGAGGGCTCTAGAACACCTGATACCACTTTCCATTGGAAAGTTGCTCATAAACCTTTGAATAATAGCGCCTAACAGGCAGCTGTGTTTAATTATGTTCTCCTGATTTTGATTGTTTCTGTGTGTTTGAAGTATATGTTTGTGATATGCGCTTAGAAACACTTCACGTGTAATGAAGCGCTATATAAATCGAACAATAATAATAATAATAATGTCAACTAAAAACGACACTATTTCAACCAATCACCATAGGTGAAATATACAGTGTCATTCTACCAACACGTTTATTATCAGGCTCAGCGGAACTATGACTGGACTCAATTCCATGTCACTCGATTGAAATTTGGAGTGTTCCAGACGGAACATTGAGAACCATTATGTTTTATTACTGCTTTAATGATAGTATTTCTGGTTGAGGTTCTCTTAGTGTTTCATAAGTTAGAAGATAGAATAGTCCCCACTGAACAGATGTACTCTTTTCTACATAAGTCTGTTTGTACTTCTGTTTGTACTATTCTCTCCACCCACATCAGCTGTTGATCCAGCAGCTACACAGATCTATCATCTTGTCCAGCCTCTGCTACTCTTTTATTTGTACAATATATACAACTTTCTGGTTTCAGATTGATCCAGCATCAAATTTAACTTTTAATTTAACTTTAAAAGAAAGTGAAAAAGAAGCTCGAAGTCAGTTGGTTCTGCCTTACACGTATGATAAAAATAAGTAAGAAATAATTTGTTGATAAATTTGGAAACGGAACAGCACGTACGCCAAATTTTGTATTTTTTTTTTTAATCCACAATCGTTTTTCTTTTCTTTGTTTGATATTTACATTGTGTGAAGTAAAAGTTAGTGTCTAGCATCTTATTTCTTGATAATATCAACTTTGTGACTTAGCAAAGATAAACACAAACAAAAGTAGATAAAACCGTTTTATGGTTAGTTACCATAATTATCTATAAAATTCAAGTGGTTCGGTTGAAGTAGAGTCATGATTAATGTACAAATCTGTTCTACATAATGTCTGTTTATACTTTAGTTGGGGGGTGGGGGGGTGGATGGCCGAATGGTTTGCACATGTGTGCTGTATCATAAGGTCTGTCATTGAGTCAACTGGCATGATTTCGAATCCCCGGTTGTACTTGACAAGGAGTAAGTTTGCCTGTCCAACCTCGTGGGTTTTCTCTGGGTCCTCCAGTTTCCTCCCATTGCTAAAGACCCCTACGCTCAAGTGAATTATAGAAATAAGATTGAACCATGTGTTAGTCCCAAAATGACCTAGTTTGTGTCGAGTGGACCTTAACCCCATTTCTCTCTCTCTCTCGTTCTACTTCAGTTGAGCTGAGATTATAGAATAATTAATTAGTTGGTGAATATTTTTGTTTATGTTGATCGTCATTAGAATATATTTTCTGTCATTTGAACCACAAATAAACAGTACGAGCTTCGAGAATGGATAGATTGAATTTTGATAAAAGGATTTTCAAATTTAAGGAAAACAAAATATGTCCTACGGTAAAGAATTTAATTCTATTTTGTATTTACAGACAAGATGCAGCTTTAAATCAGCCCGGAGGTGGTAAGATATTCTATGAAGCTGATGATGTGGATGATTTAGATGAAGAAGATCCAGATGATGATTTACATATATAGCTATATGACTTTATAAGTTGTCTGTGTTTCAGTTAATTGGAGTGTGACTGAGTGATCTGGATCATAAGGGGTGTTATCAATGCAAATGTTGTGGTTTTGATACAATGCTTCTCTATGAGATGTAAATATTCTGCTTTAGGCCAAAAAATAAAGTTTTCTCTCAGGAGAGCATACAATGCCCTTCTTCCCCTACCACAGCAAACTTGCATCTTAATTTCCATTATCAAATTCCGTACATAATGATAAACAGATAATTAGAAGGGGTTCTGTTGAAATATTTTGCATCATTCTGTAATTTGTGGGTGTAATAGAGAAAAAAGATATATATAGTTATTCAACACTTATTATTTATATTCTAATATACATCCTTAATAAAGTGTATAAAAATAGTTACATACATGTATGCATTAGCCTTTGATTGAAATTTAAAACCGGGATGCACATACCACATGATAACAGAGTGGAGCTACAATAATAATATATCTATTTGGCTCCAGTCAGTTCAACTGCTGCTAGGGTGTCCCACCATAAATAAATATCTCCCAATATCTCGATAATTATACCACAATAAGTATATATATATAACAAGTCTTAACTTACCACCTCACATTTATAGTCCCAAAATACCGTTGTGTTGTATTTAACAAGTTATAATTATTTCAAATAATTAAAAAATTAGACTGAAAAAGTTGTTAAGCCATTCAATCTGGGCATTTTTTAGTGCAAAATAGGTTATCTGCCCTTGATATGAAATTACTCCATCTTCAGCTGCCTACCAATCGTTCTCCGGCTGATTGACAGGCTGGGATAATCAAGATTATTTTCTACAAAACGTTACAGAAAGCTAGATCACTAAATGTAATTTAGAAACACACACGTTAGTCAACTCAACAATTGTTTTGAGAACCTTGTAAAAACAAAAATAAGATACTACTAGTATGCTATTCTTGCCTAATGAAGGAACTTTGGAGATAATTATTAATTTTACTAAACCAAAAGATGCCGCTCCTAACTGTATAGTTCATAATATAGCAAATTCAAAAACATAAAGAACATAATTTCCAAAGCTGCCGTAACAAGGAATCAGAAATATTATTGTTATTCAGAATAGTTAACAACAGATTTTTTACGGCTTTAATAGTCGTTAGATGTGTTGAAAATTTCATGTGCGATGGCTATTTATAGCATCACTGACTATACCGCCCAGTATTCTCGCACTGCATGAGTAGCTGTAGTGTGTACAACTTTTAATAAAGAACATTTTGGATGTGTGGGGCACCCTACTGTTGCCAAACTGGTTTAACTTCATACAATCACAGAGTCACATTTATAAGTTAACAAAACCAAACATGTCCAGTTAAAACATAACATATTATGGTCATCTACAAACACATTGAATCTTACATTTCTTAAATACGTTTCAAAACTCTTAGTTCCTAATTAAATTAGCTGGTAGCCAAAATAATGTTTGTTTACTGTAAGAGACATTATTGTCAGATAAATAATGTGTATTATTCTAGAATAATGCAAGTACCCAAGCTTAAAAATACATTATGGAAGAGCTAAATCTGTCTATTGCAGGTCTTTTAGGCCTTAAATGTTATCTAAATTATTAATTAGATATTAATTAATCTATCCAGACCATAATCAACTCTAGATGGCATCGCTAGCCTGCGATCTTTAGTGGATTGTGAGCCGATTTACTGCATAACTTTCCTTCACTATTATCGTACTGATTTTAGTAATGATGATCAAGGCTAGCCGGAAATTTCAACCGCTTAGTTCTCGGTTCATAGTGTATCAATTTGAATGAAATTTTCAGCAAATTGCCTTTACATTATCTAGTTTTTAACTATTATAGTGAGAACTGCCAACTCGTTATCGAATCTTCCATAATATATCTTTAAACTCCAGGCATACAATCTTGTGTGTTTTAACAAATCACAGGTAGGCAAATATATTTTACTAAGGTTAACAATAACATGTCAATCATTGTCTTGGATATAACCAATGTCTGTAACATATCATTACTACTCTTGGTTCAACACAACAAAAAGCATTGGCTATTATTATGTTATTTGAAGTCTCAAAGGTCAGTTTTGATGACATGCGGAGAGCCTATCAAAAGTTCACAATGGAAATGTATCTCTTGGCACTATTGTAATGTGTGAACCACGGGTAGTATTAATACATTATTCTCTTGGATATACTAAGATGACCATATCAAAAACAATATACACTAACACCGGTTAAAACTTTATAATAACAAATAATAAATATGCACCAAAGAGTTCATTAAATGGTTATATATTAAATATGGCATAAAATATAATAAAATACATAGATTGAAGGTAAAATCAAGGATAGCAGTCCACAAAGTCTTTGTTCTGTATGTATTTCTGAGTAATTTTTGTAACTTAGTGATTCTTGTGATACAGTGCAAAATTTTGTGGAAATATAAGTTCATTCTGCATGTCCGCTCAGTGCTCATTTGAAGGATTATAATCCTTGACCAACAAGCTGTAGGGTATAATAACTAAAACTGCACTACTACTACCAGACATGTACATGTACTATTAAGACTACATTTAAGACCAATTGCCAATGATAATAATATGTCTATTTCTAAAGTGCTAAATCTACAAAATGTGTTCATGGAAATGAAATGGAGTCCTACGTTCCTTCCCAACCGAGCTAATGAAGACAGGCATACGAAATACAGTGTGTTATATGAGAAATTTGCCTTGACGGCAGCACTGTTATCTACTCTTAATCCAAATTCCAACTGGCAAGCTTTGTTTTGTGCACGCCAACTTGTAAGCTTACAAACTAGACCTTGGTTTTTCTTCCCATCTGAATGACTAAACGTAAAGGGAAACTACACCAGAGTTTTTGTGTCCCCAAAAGTGTGACAGGCAGATGGATGAAGCCATTTTAATAGTTCCCTGCTTTGTAGTCTATGATGATAATGTACATATATATATATATATAATATTGATGTTGAGCAATCATTCCAAACTGTTTTTGAAGCTTTTATTTTGTATGACAGTATACTGATATATATGTCCATCAGTAGCATTTTGAAGGTAGGCAAGAATGTTGCATTGTAATATAAAAACAATCTTAATTATTCAGACTTGTACAACAATTATAAAAATTGTTATAACAATAACCATCATAAAACTGATGTACCACTCTGAATTTCATTACTCTTTAAAATAAAACAATTCCAGCTTATTAAAAAGAAGACATTCCAAAAATGTTTACCGTACAAGCTTATGTGACATACACAAATCATAAAAAAAAAAAGGTGCATAATCCAAACAAGTTTGAAAAACAAATCTTAAAAACTCTGATTTGTGAAGTGATGGATGGACAAGCAGGAGTGATGACAATATACCCCAACATATAACAATCTACAATTCATGTAACAAAAAAAGTACTAAATATGTTTGTAAATTTAACAGAAATATAAAATACTGGTAAACATAATACCAGTCATTAAAAGACAATAACAGTAACTCTTAACAGTAAAATATGGATGTAAATGATAAAATATAGAGTATGATCACATTCTTTTTGCCTCATGTTCTGCACATGATTGGCTGATGATCAACTGAGCTGTGTCACAGAATAACTTTTCAGCTGATCGTGGGTAAATACACTAAATATATGTTGTATTCTCGTAAAAAAAAAACTATAATAACATAACTATTAATGGTTTTCAAGGCAAGTAATGGTCTTGGACAACATCTGCCCCTGAATCATTTTAAGGAGATAATGAATTCATTTTAGACAAGAATAGACCTATAATTTAAATAATACCAAAATGAGTGAAATAATTTGCAAAAGTTTCACATCTTAATCTAAGGGTCAAATGTGCACTGCAATTATAAGATCTGTTTCGATGATCATACACTTTTACAAGACAATTAAACTTTTAAAGATCCCTCTGCACATTACTCAAACAAAAGTACACCATAATTATGTGGTTTGTCCGACAGACAACAAATAAAATTAATTTATGTACTTTTAATTAGAAGCTGGCCATATCCAAGCTCTATGAGATATTTTTCCCCCTTTCTGATCAATGCTAAGATGTAATTATTTCAGTTTATCATCAAGGACATAATCCAAAATGTAAAAGCCAAAAATTTTATAATCTTCCAAAGTTCCATGGGAAAATCCTGGTGCTGCTACCATCTTATTTCGAAAATGATCTACTTAATGGGCACTTGACTTATTGTATATCTAGTAAGAAACAAATACAGAAGAACAGAAGTTTGTTTATGGCTAATCTAAAATGACTGTGTCACAGTGTAATGGCACTTCGCATTAATGCAAATTCTAAACATCAGATTCTTTTTTTCTGAAAGTCCTTTGATACAATAAATATATCTCCTGGTGTAGTAATGTTTATTAATGTTATCTTCTAATCAATGTATTTACATACTTCATGGTGCTGGCATACACTTTAATCTTTCAAATGCTGACTTTTCTAAACTTTCTCTATGATTGGGATGTGCTATTTTAATCAATTCATAGGCTCTTTGTCTTAGAGTTTTACCAAATAAGGATGCTATGCCAAACTCTGTTACAATATAATGAACGTGAGCTCTAGTAGTTGTTACCCCGCTACCTATAATTACAGAAAATAAATATATATGATGAATAAGTTCAGTGGCATGCAGAGGTGAGACCTGGGACTAACTCCCATGACTCCAGTATAATGCCTAGTACTGAGACAGACATTAAATATGTAAAAATAGATGAAATAAAGTTTTTTATTCAAATAAGTAGGGCTGCTTGTATACCAACGATAATTTCAAATCTAACAAGCTGATGTCCCCTGCCGCAATCCCAAAATAAATAGATGACGTATATCAATTAATTGGACATTTATCTTTTTGAAATGTATTAAGCAATCAAACTGATTATCTATACTTAGTCTAAGCAGAAAATGTTCACGATCGAACTCAGTCAAGGTTCTGAAGTACCTGGTAGTGAAACTATATACTAGTTAGAATCAAAAATATATTTTCCCAATGAAACTGCTTCGCTCTGCGTGGCTTTAGCGGATAATTTTAATCACTGAATACTGCCAAGACATTCACCAAATGAACATCTACACCAAGTTTAAACATTCTACCACTATTAAAAGCTGAGTTGTTATGTCTTGACCAATCAGATTGAAGTATCTACTTAGCCTAAGCAGAAAATGCTCATCATTGAACTTAGTCAAGGTACTGATGTAATGAAACTATAAACGAAGTTGACCACTCTCAATCAATTAGAATCAAAGTTATTGAGCTCGGAAGTTGCTTATCGTGATTAATGAAACTTAGTTAAGGTATTGATATAATGAAACTATACACCAAGTTTCAGAATCAAATTGCTTATCTATGCTTACCCTAAGCAGAAATGCTCATCTTCGAACTCCATTCAGGCATTCATCTACTAAACACCTACGCCAAGTTTGAACATTCTACCTCAATTAGAAGGTGAGTTATTGTTTCCCAAAAAGTGTGATGGACTGACAGATGTACGAACAGACCCATTTTGATAGCCCCCTGCTTTCCTCGAAATAAGATTAATCAGTTTTCTATACTTACCTTCAGTAATAAATGGCACGATTTTAGAATCTCCCTTCTTAGTGGTTGATGGCATAGCTATTATAGGTTTACCGTGACCATCTAAACCTAACGCTGCCCCTCGTATAAAATCTATCTGGCCACCTACCCCTGTAAAAAAAAAGAACCACATATAAATGATTACCATCTTCAACAATAAGGAATAATTTTGAAGGCGGTATTTTGGTGTTTGCTTGTTAATGCCAAATTCAATATTTTGTTTGTTTCCTGGTGTCATGGTACCAGGTTTGGCTTGGTACCGAATGATTTTCTAAGTTCACCCCAAACTGAATGATTTTCTAAGTTCCCCCCAAACTGACCGTAGCCTTGAAATATTTATAAAAAAAAAAATATATATATAAAGAAATACATAACTTAATCAAGAAATTACACTTAATAAGCTTTGGGAGAAACAATGAAAAAAAAGAGAGAGAGAGAGAGAGAGAGAAAAATGGGGTTTAAACTAGGTTATTTCGAGACTAACATATGGTTTAATTTTATTTCAATAATTCGCTTGCTCATAGGGGTCTTTAGCAGTGGGAGGAACCCGGAGGGCGCGGAGAAAACCCACGAGGCTGGACAGGCGACCCTTCTCCTTGTCACGTACAACCGGGGATTCAAAACCACGTCAGTTGACTCAATGACAGGCTTTATGATACAGCACGCACATGCTAACCATTCGGCCATCCAACCCCCCCAAAAAAAGAAAGAAGAAGAAATCAATTTAGCAACATGATTCTGGGTTGTTATGATATTAAAACATGTAATAGATAGATACATAGGTATGTAAGTCATGTCTTTTTTTACTCATTTCCCTTGCATAAGGAACCAAGCTAAACTGGGTACCAAGATAAACCAAGTAACATGAGTCTGGATGGTTTGTTTTTCTCTTGTATAGTAAGTTTATTGACAATTATTAATGTAAACTAAACAATTTTATTAAACAACCATTACAAATTGCAAACACTAAAACATAAATGGAAGGTAAGGAAAGTCACAAACTGGGACTGACAGGCAACAATAAATCGCCACTTTTTATGGTTGATTTAGAATCCAGGACAATATTTAATTATACCATGAGTGCCTCTGAATTAATATAGTTGGAGGATGACATGAATTATGCTGTATTGTTATTCCAAATTATCAAACTTATTCATTTCACAAAGCCAGAAACATCATTTTTAAATTCATGTAGTATGGATAATAATTAATACAGACTAAAGTTCTGTGAGATTATAAAAGGATTTAACTTTGTAGTTTGGTACAACCGTAAGTAATCAATGAAAATTTGACATGGTCATTTTCCTTCCTTTTCAATTATAATATGTAAGTATTTTAACATATATGGATATATGGCAACATTTTTAATTGTCAAATCAAAAAGTATATTACTGTTTTAAATTACACAACATGCGGTGAAAAACATGTATTACGATTACATCAGATGAAATAAAAGCATTTGCATTGTGACCTAAAACAACAATCAAGTTAAAGACATGTTCCCTTTAGTTTAGTTAGTTCATCTTATGCAATCTCAAAACCTAGAAATATAACATTACAGACTGAAAGTGATTAGTAAGCTCACAATAAATAAAGTTTGATAGATGATAGTTTGCACATATTTTTCAAACAATATGTATTTTAAACTGTTAGTGTTGAGGAAATGTATCTTTAACCGTGACAGAACTATGTATAGTGCTCAAGTCATCTATAAAAACTGTACTGTAGCTTTCATTTTCAAATAAAAGGCTACACTGCAAATGTCACATCATGCAGTACCAACACTGTTATATTAAGAAAAATAAATGACTTGTAAAAATATATAAGCAGCACATCTTAAGCCAGATAAAACAACTTAATCAAATAGATTGGAATTCAGGCAATAAAAAATACATGCACATGTACCAGCAGTTAAGTCATCAAAACTCAACATAACAAGCCAACAGTGAGGCTGATGTCCCCCTGCCGAAATCCCGAAATAAATAGATGACACATATTAATTAATTGCATGTTTATCTTTTTCAAAATTTTCGAGCAATCAAACTGCTTATCAACTATACACTAAGTTTCATCACTCTCAGAAAGAATCAAAGTCAAAGAAATTGCTTAGCTCTGTTTAGCTTTAGCAGGAAATGTTAATTTGACCAATCAAATTGCTTATCGCTCCTTATCCTAAGCAGAAAATTCTCATCAAACTTAGTCAAGGTAATGATATAATGAATCTATACTCAGAGTTTCATAGCTCTAACTTAATTAAAACCAATGTTATCGTGCCCAAAAGCATAACCAATCAAATTGCTTATCCCTGCTTACTGTAAGCAGACAATGTTCATCATCGAACTCCATCAAGGCATTCACCTAATGAACACCTACACCAAGTATGAACATTCTACCTCAATTAGAAGGAGAGTTAATGTTTATTGCTCTGCTTACCCACAGAAGAAAATGTTCGTTATCAAACTTAGTGAAGGTATTGATGTGATGAAACTATACACCAAGTTTCATCACTCTCACTTAATTAGAACTAAAGTTTTTGTGTCCCAAAGCATCAATCAATCAAATTGCTTATCTCTGCTTACCCCTAGCAGAAATTTCTCATCTTTGAACTCCATCAAGGCATTCACCTAAACACCTACACCAAGTGTTAACAATGTTACTCAATTAGAAGGAGAGTTATATTGTGTTCCAAAGTCTCGACCAATCAAATTGCTTATCGCTCTACTACCCTGAGCAGGAAATGTTCATTATCGAACTTAGTCAAGGTATTGATGTAATGAAACTATACACCAAGTTTGATCACTCTCACTTAATCAGAACTAAAGTTAATGTGTCCCAAAGCATCAACCAATCAAATTTCTTACCTCTGCTTACCCTAAGCAGAAAATGCTCATCTACGAACTCCATCAACCTAATCAACACCTACCACAAGTTTGAACATTCTAGCTCAATTAGAGGGAAAGTTATTGTGTCCCAAAAGGTGTGATGGACAGACGGACAGACTAACCGTAACTAACCCATTCTATAGTCCCCTGCTTTCTTTGAAAGGCTAGGGACAATAACAGGTGTCAACAAAGTTGTCAATGACTCATGATTTGAAAAAGAATTCTGTCTCATGACAACAGAGCAATAAAATTTTTTAAAAGGATAGGTTTCCAGGCAACAAAAGATACGCCCACAGCAGCTAAGTCATCCCGGGAGTCAACACGGGTTGTCGCATATTTTTTTCATCTTTCAGAAATGAAAACCTTTACAACACACTAAAATCTGATTACGATTAACAACCCATTTTACTTCTAGTTCTGCCCTATTCTAACATTTAGCATATAAAACATTTAATATCAATTGCCATAATCATTGGAAATGGTTGAAAATCAATAGACTTCTTCGTCTCATGACCTTAAACACTGTGTCAATCGGATATAAGGTGTCCACAAGATATTTCAAAGTGATCAAGGGCCATAACTCTGGCAGTAATTATCAGAAATCATTGAAAAACAATAGGATTCTTTGTCTCATGACCTTAAACACTGTGTATAAATTTATTGTCAATCAGATATGAACTTCAGCTTCTAGAGCGTCCACAAGATATTTCAAAGTCATCAAGGACGGAAATCGTTGAAAATCAATAAGCTTCTTCGACTCATGACCTTAAACACTGTGTATAATTCTAAAGTCAATCAGATATTAACTTTAGCCTGTAGTGCAGCCATAAGCTATTGTGGATGCTGGACCGACGACGACAGTATATGACCACATTTCAATGTGGGCGTATAAAAATTTGCAATAACTCAAACCTATATGTACAGCAGCTCAACAAGTTACAAATACTGGATTGACGGACTGACATGACAGATTATTGAATTCACTGATAGATGGAGGAAAAGTCAGCCGGACATAATGTAACAATATTGACATGTAGCAGTATAGATAAAGGAATAAATTCTTTGTTCAGATTTACCATCAAACTCAATATCAAGGAAAGAAGGTAGAGCTTCTCATAATAAAAAAAAGAACACAATTTAATTAACACTTCTATTTTCTAATGACATCACAGGAAAGAAGTGAACATATTTGTTAACACTCTATTGTCAAGCAACAAATAGGCGCCCACCAAAAGCTTTGTGAACGAAGACAAAATCTTGAGATGTAAAAATAGGCTCAAAAACTCTTTAAGGTCAGAGCGTTTACAACATCTCTTTGACATTTTTCACAAAATTGATGCATAATTCTAAAGCTTGAAAAAACAAAAAGCTCAAAAACTAATCTGTCAAGTGTTTAAAAGAAAAGATTTGTTGATGGACTGCCAACAGACAGGGCTGACAACAATATAGTCCCCCAAGAACAAATCTTAAAACAGCCTATGATTCTATCTCTATATATAATCTGTTAGTCCAATGGTTTACCTTCTTTATGTATGTGATATTTAGAGATCAATGTATTGATTTATGAAGGTCATGCATGGTACCAGGTAGTCTTTATGCTATTTCCATTGTATACATCAATACCTCGGAGAATGGGGTGCTTTTGAAATTTTTCATATGGAAACCTAATGAATTTTGAATTTTATTGGATATATTTAAGAAGTATCATACCCTCAAGTAGTTATCTCCCCTCATTACTTGATGCATTAGCTTTAGCTTTTTTGGACAGCGATGCTATTAAATTTGATTGGATACTTTACTCTGAGAACTAATTTATAATAAGCAATGATTGACATTTCGGTAACCTCAGTTAAGTTCTAAAAATGAAACAACCTGAATTCTAAACCGCACCACATTGAACAACAAACAGAAGTGAAATGGAGTTGAGCGCGCTTCTTTTCTGCACCATTTGGGTTAATGGAGATGACAACTAGACATATCAGTATTTTGTAGTACTAAGTATTTTATAAGAAGATAAATAATAATAATAAGCTGATAGAAAATATTACCTGAGTACATTCTGGTACCAATAGAATCAGACACGACCTGACCGGTTATATCCACCATTATGCAAGAATTAATAGCTGTTACTTTTGGGTTCTGAGAAATAATTGCAGTACTGTTGGTAAACGATACATCTGACATCACTGAAAATAAAATCAACAGTAGGTTCTTATAGCATTTAAACTAACTGATCATATTTTATAACAGTAGATTCTTATAGCATTTAAACTAACTGATCATATCTTATAACAGTAGGTTCTTATAGCATTTAAAGTTTTAAACTAACTGATCAGATCTCAACAGTAGATTCTTATGGCATTTAAACTATCTGATCATACCTTTTTTTTGTTTTTATTTTTGTACTGTCCATGGAGATACTGAATGAGTCATGAATGTCTATTTCTTAAACTAGTTGGCAACCAAAATGGCATTTTATTTCAGTAATGAAAACAAATTAAACTAGCTTGCCTGATCTAATTATTTCTTTAATATAATTTATGTTTTATGATGTAATTCTCTTAAATTCCTAATCTTTTGACATAAATTTCTCCACATGTCAATTTTCAATTCCAGAGGGTCAAGACCGCTGTTCCCTCTAAACTTTGCTTGTGTACTGTGCACACATTTTTTGCAAGGCGTATACAAAGGAAATTAATGTGTGCACAAATTTTAGGCCATAACGAGTAAAAATACTATTTTGGTTCTCAAATACAAAAGGTTGCATGATCTGTTTTTATTTGCCAAGTTAATTATACTAGGCAAAATTATCTAACATACTTTCTACAAATATCTTGCACACATACTTTTATCACACTCACAGGAAACATTTTGCATAACATTGATTTCTGTGCAGTCCAAATTACTTCAAATATTAAAAAATTGAAGACAACATTGGTCAACGCTGGCAGATGTGAACAAAACAAAAGCTTCGTAATCAATACACTGTATGACTTACCAACAAACGGATTGTTGTCCATAAAATTATACAGCTTTTTACTTCCAACAGCAAATGAGCTGACAATTTTTCCTGTCTGAACAACTTTTTTAGCATTAGTTATAGCCCCCCTATCTACTAGGTCGACTACACCATCACTGAACATTTCTGTATGGACACCTAGATCTCTATGATTGAACAACTGACATAACACAGCATCAGGTATAGTTCCTATTCCTATAATTAAATAACAAAAATATAGGTTGCCAGAAAATGAAAAATATGCACCAATCACGTAGAGAATAAAATAATGATACGTGTATATCATTAATGAAATAATTTCTTGCAGGGGTCTTGAGAAATAGGAAGAAACCGAAAGTACCTGGAGAAAACTATGTAGTTAGGCAGGCTACCCTACTCCTTGTCACATACATATTTAGGATTGAACCAAGCACAAATAACAGGCCTTATGATCAAAATTTGAATTTGAATGAAAGTTTTTGTCAACAAGAAATTGGTTATTTTACTTAATTTAAAGTTAAAATTCCAAAATTAATGATGTTTAAAAAAAAATTTCTTTTTACCCATTTGAAGTGTAGCACCATCACTAACTAGATTCTCAGCAATTAAACGCCCAATTTCAATTTCAGCATCTGATAATGATTTTTGTGGTCGTTCTGGTATAGGTACATATTTTTCTTCCACCATTGCATCTATATGTGACTGATGAATCAATCCATCACCAAATGTACGAGGCATGTTGTGATTGGCCAAAGCTGTAAAATATAGTATTTACAAATGTAAACAAGTATAAGCGTACCATGGGCGAGAAACTGAGCATGATGTCATCGGCGCCATTTTAAAATTGTGACGTTATATCAAAATTCGAAGTATGTGAATCAATGCCCAAGGAACGAGTATGCCAAGTTTCATGTCGATTGTACTTGAATTGGCAGAGCCTTAGGCTTTTTTCAGAGAGTACCATCCCACGGAAGAAGAATAATAAGATGAGGAGGACATGGGACCCAGCTCCACTTCAAATATACTTAATGAGGTTTAATCATGTCCCAAAAATTTCAATGTGTCACTTCAGGCAATCTACAAATTCATTATTACATTATTATATTATATTACTTTATTGCATACGTAATGTTATATAGTTGTTCCATTTATGTGTACGTAAGACTAAGTTTGTTTTGTGAAATGGAAGCAGGAGATTAAATCATACCAAAGCCATACTATTAATCCTGGTACACAAAAACTTGATTTTAAATATTTTATTTCTTAAAAGTAAGAAATAAATAAAAGAATTAGATAGACAGATTTGTTGAGTAAATTTTCAACTTTAACTCTAAAATTTAAAATTGTGATCACTGATTACTGTTTACCTATAATGTATTTGGCATTTTCTATGGCGGCTCTTGTGCAATCAACACTTGTTCCCAGGGAGCAGTAACCATGTTCATCTGGTAAAGTGACAGATATCAAAGCTACATCCAAATTAACAATTTTACGTCGAAATAACAGAGGTATTTCACTCAAAAATATTGGGGTACAGTCAGCTCGTCCCTCATTAATAGCCTGTCTCACATTGGAAGCAATGAACAGGGAATTAGATCTAATTATTCCTGAAATTAGACAAAAAATAAATTGATTTAATCTTATTTGCATGCTAATTTATTGCTGAACTTTTCTCTCAAAAGGTTAAGCTACACATTAGCCGACATTCCATAAATGACCCTTTTTATGAGATCTTTGTCAGTTGGTAAAAAAGTCATCTTTTGATTTCACATAATATGTCCAGAAATAGAGTTAGATTGGGGAAATTATATACATTACATGTATATGCCATATTGGAGATTCATTTATTAATCCATCGTTTAGATACAGACATTTTAAGGTTCAATAAGAGCAATATGCATCATTATCACAGTTTAGTGTACACCTGCACACCAAGCTATATCTGTCGGCGTTGAATTTTACAAATAAATTTGTGTGCGCTACCAGTCTATTATACTTGAAATAAGTAAAATGCTTTAGCGAGACTGTTTGAATATCAACAAATTAGAGAATCTATCCCTGCATACATAATCAGAATATGAAAGAGTGTCAAGGTAATCTTTTAATGTTGCAATATATTATAGTCATAAATTCACATCCAGTCTTAGCATGGAGTTAAAATATGGTATTTTATGGTTATCTACAAAGATTATATTGAATCTTACAAACCTCCACATTTCACAAACTTGTTAGAAATCAAAACAGAATTTGTTTATTCAGTGATGTTATAGAGAGATAAAGAATGGACACTGTTGGAGAACAATGCACATGATACTGGGACATTTTCTAAATTAAAATACATATTCAGCAATTAATATGATAAACAATTATTCTGACTTGCATAGACTTCTTGTCATTCTTTATCCAAATGAATAATATACCTTCAAATGCAGGTTTTGTAAATTCAGCAGGACCTTCTGTGTGTATATGTATAACTTCTATATTCTCTAAATTATTTTCCAGACTATGTTTAGTTAAACAATTAACTAATCTTAAAGGTGTAGCTGCTGCACCATGTATATAAATTTTATCACCTGAAATAACAACATTTTCAATGGAGAATAAAAATTGAAATCTAATAATTTTGTTCTGTTTATCTTTAGGGCTAGCCAAGATACATTACAGAAAATCTGAAAAATCTATAGAAAGACTGATTATCCAGACACTTGCCTGCTTATCAAAGGAATTACTATATGGTGGTCATTGTCACAGATTAGGACACTCTTCAGAATATATCGTTAGATCTACATGAAGTGACCAATAGAACGAATATGACATGTTGCTGGTGATAATACGTCCAAGTATAATTGTCACTGCCAAGGTTAATTTTTCTTTTACCGTGTTGTGAATTAACCAAAATTTAACCTAGAAACTCTTGACTCTGGTGTCAGCTCTCTTCATAAAATAACAAATAATTCCTATTTGTTTCGGTAACTCAGTCTTATCTTGTCAAATCCTGCATCCGATTTGTGTTTTCTGCACAATTCAGGTAGCATATCCTGAAATGGAGATTTTCACTATGCAGCCATTGCAGGTAAGAAAATTTCTATTTGTTGAGTTTACAAACAATATTTCACTCACAATATATAGCTTACAGAAAGATGTAGTTGCTGAGGTATACAGAAAGCTCTTGTCTTCTGCAATATAATGATTACCGGTATAAAACACTTGTGGACAAGATTGTGGATATCATCATCACTTGAATATCACATGTAACATGGATATGATCCATATTTTAATGAAAAAAAATCTTATTTTTTCTGACTAAAACCAGAGCCTTATATATAGAGAGTCTGGCCAACTGACGTCATGGGCGCCATTTTGTCACCCATTCTTACGCAGCACATAGAGCCACAGTACAGCCTGTGACCTATTTATATGTTTTAGATCCGCGCAAATGTATTTTTATCTTCACTCAAGTGTTAGGGTAGACAATAATTTCAATAAATCAATTAATCATTATGTAAATTTTATTTTGACAATATTTATTTTTTATTTTTTTAATATTGAAAATACCGCAATAATCTAGAATATCGTTTGACTACAGACATAGAGGTGTATTATATCAATATATACACCTCTATGTCTACAGATTAAATCGGAAGTATCGAATAATGATTACCATTGAAATTAGAAAATAATTTTTATTTTTATTTGAAATGTGGTCGTACATTGTCGTCGTCCGCGTCCGTCCGTCGGCCCTTGATGACTTTGAAAAATCTTGTGGACGCTCTAGAGGCTAAGTTAATATCCGATTGACTTTAAATTTATACACATTGTTTAAGGTCATCAGGTCATGATTTTATACATATATATATACACCGTGTTTACGCCTATATATTATATAATCGTTTCGATTGACTTTAGATTATCGTATGTTATTATCCCGCGCCGAACAAAGGTATGTAGGGATATTGAAACGGGTTCCGTCCATCCCGATTTCTTTATGAAACTTTGTCATTATAGTAGTTCTGATTTAATCATTTTTGTGTTTACTTGGATACAGGGGGTTGGGTGGTCGAGTGGTCTGACACGTGCGCTTTAGTTCATAAGGTCTGCCATTGAGTCAAGTTTTGCTGTTTCGATCTTAAGATTGTACTTGAAAAGAACTAGGGTCGCCTGCCCAACCTCGTGGGTTTTCTCAGGGTTCCCCAGTCCCCCCCCTCCCCCAACTGCTAAAGACCCATACGCGCAAGCGAATTATTGAAAGTAGATTTTATTTTGCGTGTAGTGCTGTCCTTCTGCACTTAATATGCGTTAGTTCTCTCTCTCTCTCCATCGAAACAAATTTGACATAGTTTTTGGTATATAATTTTTATTCAGGAGCATATTATAATGGTGTGATAATCTTCCAATCGCGAATATAATTAATGTTTCTTAAATTAAACACGTTAAGATCAACTGGCTAGTAAGTCGTTAACCTGTCACCACTTTTCAAGCCATCATTGGGTAACGACGTTAATCCCATCTATTGTTTTTGTTGATTTATTATATTGTTTAATCATTTATGCATATATTAAAGAATTGAAGAATCATTCGAAGTCTGTTATATCCGAAGAGAGAATTTACACCTCTAAAATATCAATAACTCTCACTATTATGTAATGACTTAAACTACTTCAGGGATTTTACCATCTGCCTCATTTTGACAGATTTGCTGGCCATTGCAGTTTCTTCTAGTTCTTTCTTCTTCTGTTTTTCAGACTTTAAAATTGTATTGAGCTTGTTCGCATGTATCTTCAGACGAACTGTGAAAAACTTCATGAGAAATTTGTCTCTGATTTCATGACATGTTTTTATTTCATCACTGCAAGCTGTCACTGTTAGTTCGCGCAATCGGTCCACCAACTTGTTTCCATGCAGTTTCTTCTCGTTCGCACGAAATACAGCCTCCGCAGTCTGTATAATTTCCATGGCTTTGTCTGAACAGTAAGTTAGGTGTGGAGTACCAGGAATGAACTCTTTCAAGCGCGTTAAAGCTTCAATGTGTCCTGAACTCACAGCTTTACTTTTATCCTCTAAGTCTAACACACAGTTGTCACAGACTCTACCGTGTTTTCTGACCGAGAACAAACAGTATCCCGCCAAGTGAAACAATGCTGATTCCTCTTGTTTGTTCAAATCCAATTCCAGTACACCCGAAATATTGAGCTGGTCTTCCCCATCTTTTTGTTGCTCTTGAAAATCACGTTGCATGTAATCGGCCAAAAAGGTCCTGTCGTCTTCCAAGTAAGAGCCGGTGGTAGGGCACTTCATATACTGAGCAACTGACACTGTTTTGAGCGCTTGTCTGAATTCTAAGGCATCGGGCGTAGGATTTTTATAGCGAATGCATCCAAACAAATTCTCAAGACAATCCTGAGTGAGCCTTCCCGTGAGAAGGAACATATGACCTCTCTGTAAATAATCTGCTTGAAGATCAAAAACTGTTGTCGTTGATAAAATCACACCTGTCTTGCCATGGTTTCCAGTTTTTACCAGCTTTTAATCCTTTGAAAATAGTAATAGTTTCAAGCAAATGATTGATAGCACTGTTGTATGCCTCTGGGTTATTGAGGCTGAGAGCCATAACTGGGTGGTTAGAAGACAGTTGCTTCCACCGGCAAATTCTACAAGGTACCGTAGACCGGCTGCCACTGATTTACTAAAAAAGTTCAGTGCCGTAGAAACCTTCATTTTATCAAAATGTGAGCCCATCAGCTTCTCCGTCTGCAGATTTGGTGTTATTTTCAAGTCATCATTGAGCTGAAATTCCACCAATTGCGTTATGTCATTAAGACTGACAATGTTAGACTTCAGTCCGTATTTTGCGACAGTTTCATCGGATAATGTGAACTCCTTGCCGTTCACCAATGCGCACTTTATGTTTTTCGTTAGATGAGGGACATCAAATATAAAGTACAAATAACGGTTCGGGTCACAAGGGTGTGTTATTCGATATTTATGTGTATCGCTTTTGACAATAGTTTCAATGCCACGAATACAACTGCCTAATTTATCGTACTGATATCCTGCCTTCAGAGCAGTTTCATCCAAAGTTAGTACACAGTTTCGGTCTTTCTCAGAAAATGATTCAACTTTCAGTTTCAGTAGTTCAAAAGTTTCATATAGTACACCTGGTTCCATCTTCACATCCTGTAGTTTGCACCTTAGTGAACGCAAAGATGGCAAAGGTTGAGACTGGCGCAAAAGTTCCTCATACCCAGTAGTTCCACAGGTGAATCTCAACTGAAATGCTTTTCGATATGTCTCTTCACACCATTTAGAACCACGAAACGACGTTTGGCTCAGCTTTTTCAGTTGATTAAGAGAAAAAATTGTTGTGAGTCTGTTATTCAAATTCGCTTTTTCCTGTGCCATTTTTCGCTTTTCACGAAGAGATTCGCGTAATTTGTCCCGTAAAACACTGTTCTGTCAGAGAAGTTTCTGTGTAAGAGTTTCTTTACGTGACGTTCTTTTCTTTGGAGATTTGTTTGCAGTCGTATTTTGTGGTTTGTCTTTCAGGTCGATTTCGGCTTCTGGTATTTGAGAGAAAAGTGCTTCTGAAAACAGAAAATTAACAAAAATAAATAAAACAAATTTAAATCAATATATACCGTAATAATAAATGTTGGGTAATATCGAGCCTAGTTCCAGGTTTATGCATGTCACGGGTTTTCGTCACAGCCCAAACGAGAAGAATAGGCATGAGAAATGAAATGAAATGAAATTGGGTTTAAAATAACGTCCTACTTTTCTGCAACAACTGGACTAATGAAGATGGGCATACGCCATGCAGTGTGCTATGAGGGAAATTTTGCACGGCCAGCGGCGTTACGGCCTACCGAGTACTCTTATTTCAAATTCCATATGTAAAGGGTTCTGTTACCTTCTTCAGCTGCGAACAGTATTTTTTCATTTTCATCCAAGTTGTCGCTTCTCTGTACCCTTCGTGTACTAGCGTACGAATGATCGGAGTGGGAAGTGTGGGAGTGTTCGATGTTTTTTGAATTCGCGGTACATCTTTTGGAAGCTGGTCGTACTTTTTTAGGCACACTATGGTCGAAAACATTAGGAACTGCGTTATATTTTAGTGGCTTGGTTCCATCTAGTTGTCCCAACTCCTTTTGGGTGTCGTCAAAATGTTTCTGTAAAACACAAGCATTAGCGAACATTAACGATCCAATGTCATATAATCCTATATTGAATGAAACTGACAATACCAATTACCATAATAATATAGTGCCGTACCGATATGTCTAATCCGACACTTTGCCAATACAGTAACATACCGCATAACTTTATACCATATCGACAAAATTTGGATCGAGAAACATCTAGGCCTACTTCACTTGGCTAGGCCTACGGCTACACGGTGTCTCAAGCTCATAACAAACTGTTGAAAATTCACTCCTGCATGAAGTTGAAGTCATCAAACATAATCACTTATAACGAAAACAAAAAAAACCATCGAAAAACATCTAGTACCAGGCTAGGCCTACACAAAAGTGTCATTCTCAAGTTCATAATAAATTTTCGAAATTTCACTCATGGATGAAGTCGTTAAGCATATATCTATCTATATAAAAAAAATGATCAAAACCGCAACACTTTATCCATACATTCGAAATTTAAATCGAAAAAAACATACTATTTGGCTAGGCCTATAGGCTATAGGCCTAGCATATATAGGCCTATATACTAAGATCTATCTACACTGTCAAAAGTGTTATTCTCAATAACTAATCTTCGAAAATTTATTCATCAAAAACAAAATCTAACCAATGACGTGAATGTAATTAGTTTGAGAACTTTTTCGAATTACAATAACAATCGACGGTCGCTTGAAATCGTTAAAAAAAAAGAAAGATAGGCTACTCACATCACACAAGAAAGAATGTTTACTGGGCTTCCACCCGCTTCTTTTTACCCTAATCTCCCACAATCGCCGCCTTTCTGTGTTTTTCGGGAATCTGTGCTTTGCAATTCCTTGCCCATCTCTTGTGTGGCATTTTACGGCCACACAACAGACCATTCATGTAAAATAATCTACTACAATCAAAGATAATTCTGGCTACTGTCTATAGCAGACGATTCTTTGACAGGGTAACGTAATGGCGTCCACATGTCACGTGACTATCATTAACCAATCAGAATTGGGACACGGGTTGGCCAGACTCTCTATATAAGGCTCTGACTAAAACTAATGTATAACAGGATAAAAAGCTGATGAAAATGGCAACAGATAAAAACTGGTACGTCCTACACAGTCACAATCCATGTTATGCTCTTTTTGGACTTGATTTCAGTGGTATTGCAGTTGATTTGTTCCCGGCTTTTTGCCAGCGTGGTGACACTAATCGCTTTACACTTACAGGAGTGAATGTTAATACGCGTTTTCTTTCTTGTCCTAATTTTTCTGTGAAAATAAACATAAAAATGTGTGGAAATAGGTTTTTAGAACTAATTCGATCAGGCATTAAAGGCATTGACTGGTTTACTAACCAGGATGCCTAGGGTTTGATACTCCATCAGAGGCTATGAGGAAAATTTTACTATTAGGCCTATTTCGATTTCATCAACACAGTTCTTTTATGTGTAGGCTACGCCAATGTCACATGTGTACAAGGAACAATATTTTTTCGTCCACTCCATCCTGCACCATTGACAATGGGAGACCATGCCGGAAATTCCTGAGGAACCTTCACGGACAACAATGAAATCGAACACCGGATCTTGAAGAATAGGGGACAACGACTCAGTCCGGGCAAATTTTCCCTCACACACTTCATTAGTCTAGTTTGTGAAGGAATGCAGGACATTAAATCCAATTTAATGTTTTTCAGGAGATTTGGGCAACAAAATCATCTTTTGAGTTTGTATCTAAACCAACAGAAAAGTACTCTCTACAACAATGTAATTTTAAAAAATTTCTGGGGCGGGTACCTCTCGTCGTTAGGCCCTTTAGAATGAACTGCCTTTGGCGGCCGATCTCTTACCCCTGGCTGCTGTTTCCATAAATTAATAGCCTTAGAAAAGACTTACAGAGGTGGGGAAGAGTGGTATTTTCATATTGCAGCTTTTATAGGGACTGATAGTGATAGGAACGGTCGACGGGATCGGATCAGAGATCGTTCCTAAAGGAACTATGTAGGCTAATGTATCTGAGTGAAATATTGCATCTAAGCACATAAGAAATTTCTTACCTCCGTCCTGAAATTCTCTGCTTGGCTCTCCTCCAATGCGGGGCTGGACAATTATAAATGAAGTGTCAATAATTATTATAATAAACAAAAATGTGAAAAATACCAACCAGACTTGATAACTTTGACAGCTTCTTCGGCTCTTTTCCATTCGGGGTGACGATCGGGAATGGGGTGAAACGGTTCAGGGGTATATAGATAAAATGTCCTTTTCAAGAAATGGGGTTCTGTTTTATATTTGAAGAGTTTTGGGACTCGTCTAATAAAGGCTATGGATGCCATAGTTTGAACAGTTTGAAGACAAGTCTGACAGGTCAAATAAACTACCTTGAACCTAGCAGGAACCTTGACATTTGTTATGTCAACGCGGGTCACCTTGAAATGAACACGAGTTGTTGGTTGGCTAAATGCTAATGTTTATGCACCCACAAAATTTATCCATTTTTATTACCGTGTAATAAGGCTTTCTAAATAAAGGGAAGTTGAATTGTCACTTGGCCGCAAATGGAAAGCTCGCAAAATAATTATAGGAGCATAAACGTATCTGTTGCATCATAGAACTTTAGTTCTATGGTTGCATAGAGTATAGGAGCAGGCCGGTTCATCTCGGGCTGTTTCATCCGGGCTGTTTCTATGGCAGACCAAATGGGACAATATTCATGATTCTTATTTCTACATTCCAGTTTGAATATTTTAGACATGAACGCAACATTCTAAACTAATGATTCTTGTTTCTACATTCTTATGTCAACATTTCATGCACAAAATCAACATTTAAAACAAAAAATTGACTTTATGTTTCATTTTCGGCGTTTTATCGGTAACTTTTATATATCATTAAATATTGAAATTAAAAAATAATTTCTTAATTTTACACGACAAAGAAATCAATTCATTGGTTTCTGAAAGTATCTTTAAAAAATCTGGAATTTGAACTCTTATGAAAATATTTTCTACGTTTCAAAAAGTCTTGAAGTTAAAATCTTGAAAAGAAAATGTCCAGAAAAACATAATGAATTATCAACATAGGGCGTTAGCGTATGTGTACAACTTTGATACAGACTAAAGATTAGAAATCAAAAGTAAACATTGATAAATAAAGTCGACAACCCGACATCACGACAACCCGACATCACGACATTTTTATGCGACAATACATTTTTACGCGACATTACGACATTATTAATGTGTGTGAGTTTATATTTGCTATTTTTACAATGATATTTCTATAGAAATACTGAAGTTGGCCGAGAAAGAAATATCTGGATAAAAAAAAAATACTTCCTTATTAGTGTAAAAATAGGTACCGGTACATAGGCCTAAAACAGTACACTAAAGCGTAAAATGAATGGGTAAAGGGCACCATGTTTGTATTACTACGCGCGATGTAAACAACTTGAGGCCGTATGATGTGACGTCACACGTAACCTGTAGGCCTACTGTACGTGACCTTTAAAGGCGAATCATCTTGTACAGATTAAAGAGAGGGTTTCAGATCACACCTGTGAGATAGATGTATAGAAGCATTGGCATAACGTCACTGTGTGAAGTGCACGTCTACGAAAGCAACCTTGTGATAAAAAGTATAATAAAAATAATATCCACACCGTCACAAGGATTTATGAATGACGTCATGTCATTGTCACACCCTAATTCTAATTTGAATAGAATGATTAGAAGTAATATTTTTTATTTTGAAGAAAATTCTCAATGATTTCGGATAGAGAAGAAAATAGTAATTTTGTAAGTAGCCCATATATTGATCAGTTATCTGTAATATGAATAACCTTCCCCTTGATTTTATTGATTTGATCAAAAGTTAATTTTGAGAGATGTAGCCAATGTAGGCTATAAAAAAGACAGAAAACTTCTAACCATAACGGGGTGTAACGTAGTCATTTATGTGTTACTTTTTGTCGGTTTTCTGTTGTTTGTCTTCGTTTTATTTAGCTTTTTCATAATTGGGGCGGTGTGTGTGTGTGTGTGTGGGTGGGGGGGGGGGGGGTATTTGTCCATAAGCCGGTTAACAATAAATCATAATATACTGTACTAAAAGTATTCTTCTATTAGAAACTGTGTGCTATATATACGCTAGAAACGACACTTTACGATAATGTGTTTTCAGTAGGCCCAAAACAGTTTAAAAGATGAGATTATTTAGTAGAAATCTTGATATTTTGACCAACAGGTTAGCAATAAAAATCGACTGGGCACCTTATCATAATTTCAGGAGACATTTCCTTTCTATTTAAGTTTTTTTTTTTTTTGGGGGGGGGGGCGAATGGTTAGCACGTGTGCGCTGTATCATAAAGCCTGTCATTGAGTCAACTGCGTGGTTTCGAATCCCTGCTTGTACGTGACAAGGAGTAGGGCCGCCTGTCCAACCTCGTGGGTTTTCTCCGGGTCCTCCGGTTTCCTCCCACTGCTAAAAACCACTACGCGCAAGCGAATTATTGAAATAAAATTAAACCATAAGTTAGTCCCGAAATGACCTAATTTGTGTCGAGTGGACGTTAAACCGAACTCTCTCTCTCTCTCTCTATTTAAGTTTTAAAGTGGCACTCGCATGAAATATAATATTTTAATATCCTTACAGGTACCAAGAAAAAAAGTCTTTTAAATATTTAAAAAAATATGGATAAAACGTCCGAGGAAATTGATGAAACTGAAAGTGCCAAAAACATTTGCAATTATGCCATGAATTCTGCGTTCGCAGAACTGTCGTCTGAAGATAGAAATAAATTGGACGACCAGGGAACAGACGAATTATCGGCAATTGGTTTGCGCCTGGAAATAAATAAAAAATCAGTGCCTTTGGATGCTCTTCTTGGTATGTCAGCTTTACAGTTACACCGAACCTTAAAGACATTCGATGTATCTAAACCCACTGCAGAGAAACTGTACAGAAAAGATGGGCAATTAGGTGATGGTGCAGAGGATGATGAAGATATGTATTCAGGCGAGGAAATAGTTCGAATTGTGGATTTAACAGGCGAGTCAGAAGATACCGTGCCAGTTGATGAACAAAATGCGTCAGAAGATATCGTGTCATGTGATGAACAACATACATCAGAAGATATCCTACAGTTTGATGAACAACACGTATCAGAAGATATTCTACAATTTGATGAACAACACACGTCAAAAGATATCCTACAATTTGATGAACAACACGAGTCAGTGGATGAACAATGTGCATCAGAAGATAGTATATGTACGGGAAGCTTTAGTGGACCAGCGTCTAGAGGTATTATCTTCATAAATAAAGAAACGTATAACGTTAACGCCTTTTTCCCGATCCTTAAGAGTAGCACAATAACTTAATTTGATAGTTCTTTTATTACTTACAATGTACATCTGTTTATTACTGTATTATCTTGACGGGGGCGGGTCTAATTGTTTTAAGTTTGGTGTGATTGTCTAGCAATTACTATTATATTTCATTACCCAAACCTTATTATAGGACCCGAACTTGGTGGTCTAGAGAGGTTTGTTTTTTCTGAATTCAGCTCTGCGGTCCATTAAGAAAATAACTTAAAACAAATGAAATGAAATGAAATGGTGTTTAACGTCCTACTGTTCTGCTCCTATACCGAGCTAATGAAGACGGGCATACGCCATACAGTGTGCTATGAGGGTAATTTTGCCCGGGCAGCGGCACTATCGCCTACTCTTATATCGAATTCCAACTGCCAAGGGATCTTTTACGTGTATTCCAATGTATACACGGGACCTCGGTTTTTCGTCTCCTCCGAAGGACTAGACAGCTGTCCTTGTCAGGCCCTCCGCTCTGCACCACTGACAAGGGGAAACCACGTCGGAAAATCCAGATAAACAACTTAAAACAAGCAACTCCCAAAGCCAAAGTATGTTGCAGATAAACTGTCCATTGAATGTCAACCGTTTGGCATCCGCGTCAATTGCCTATGATATTTTCACACGTTAAAATTTCTTAAATATATTAAGGCTTTGCAGGCTTTGGGGCTGGGGGTGGGGTGGGGGGTGGTGGTAAATGTTTAGGCGTCGATTCCAAGTTTTGTATTCGCCAATTTTACGGGAGCCAGGTAGACATTATCTTATATTTATATTGTCCTATCCATTTATTACTTTGTTAATTTACACCTTTATCAAGTGTTCTATACATTTAAATAGCGGTAATTTTAACTAAAAAGAAGCAGTTTTCAAATGAATTGTGTTAATTAAGAAACTTGGTAAATATTTGAAAAATCTATAGGCCCTATTTGTCTTTCTCACACAGTCTACTTTATATTTAAGAATTATCTTTTGAAGAGGAATCAATAACACTATTTGGTAAGTGCACATTATCCTGGTTTACTTATTTAGTCAGTCCCCACCCCAAAATATAGCCATTTTTATGCGAACGTCGCCCGTGTCCGGACTTCGATTCACATATATATATATATATATATATATATATATATATATATATATATATATTTGTGAACACACTAGAGGTCACAATAATTTTTATCCGATTGGAATGAAACTTAAAATATGTTTTTATATCCTCCCAAAATCTCGGATTGGTTCGATTTTTGCACATGCCGGACCAGACCAGAACTGTGTGGATTATTGTCCCTGGTTGTATACGAAAATCACAGGCATGGCCTGTGGCCCTATCGATTTTCACTTTTCTATTCATTTCTTGCAAATGTTAGCATATCTTGCATGGCAACGACTTGTTTATTGGCCCTTAAAAAATTATTATTTTTTTTTTTTTTTAAAAACCCCAGATATACAAGAAAGACCATTGCCACAAGTAAAAGCCAAAAGTGAAGCAGTATTTGGACACCCCTTACAGCGAAAAGAAAGCCGTATTTTTAAACTACTCGTGGTGAGTATTTAACTTTTCGATGCGATTTTTAAAAAATAACTATACCATACGTGACTCGATTTACTATTCACAGAACGTGCAATACAGGCAATGTGGATGGTGAAAAGGTTGTATCAGGACCGGGGTCACTTGAGCCCCTTGTTGAAAATGTCACGGGAGCCCTTTCATCAACAGTGAAGAGAGACATATTCTGACCATTGTCCGCCACATGCACACCAATGCAACTTGTATGTCATTATGGTAGCAATAATTATATTGCACACACATATAGAACAAAATATATAAAATCATAAATTATACACTTCAAAACAAGTAGGGGATATTGAAATGCAAATACCTATGCTGGTTGTGATATTATAAATAGTCACGGGCACTTGACATGCTTTGAGTGTATGTTCACAGATGAAGAACTTATCGCCCCAACAGAACCACTGAGCTGCACATGCGACACGCAATAGCGCCACACCCCTAGGCGGGGTTCATTGTCAAATTTGTTACTTCAAGGAAGGGTTGATGAAAACTGCCGCGTGCTGGTTTATCTAGCCATGTTTGCTTTTCTATCGGTTCTTGCATAAGATTTACTGTTTAGCGTATCTTTGCTTTAGTGTGTTACGTTTAATTTGATCGGGAGGCGTGTTCGTCAACGTCAACGGACAACACTGCAAGAATTGGCCGTGACACTGCCAAAGGAGTGGGTCAGATTGCCCCAAATCGTGATTGGACGGTTGATTAGGAGCATGCCACGACGAATTGCTGAATGTCTGAGGGTTGATGGAGCAATTACTCATTGAGACAAAAATCAAAAACGTCCATTTTCACTTTTGACGGTGTATCTCTTTGCGAGTGAAATGGGGCCGTTAGATTAGCCGCCCATATGAACTGTTTATGTTCATGTGTAGGCAATTGGCCTGTTATTAACATACACTGGTTACCTCTAAAAAAAACAGCAGTGCATTTCCGCAGTTTTGTATTGTTTCTGAATATCCCCTACTTTTTTTGGAAGAGTATATAAGCTTTTATTTTAAAAAAAGGGAACTAATTCGGGGCCCTCTGCCCCCCCCCCCCTTCCACTTTAATCCGGCCCTCGATACGGTATTAAATATCACCTTGCCAAGGACTATTCTAAATTTGCCAACAATTGTCTGCTCGGCTGATTGGAGAATGTGATATTAAACTCAACTTAGTTAACATCAATGGTTTAATTTAAATCGCCGTTTACAACGAAAGTTAATATAGAAAATTTGAAAGCCAGATAAAACCGGCTATTTCATTTAGACACTGATGGCGGGATGTGTCTAAACTATATTTATCTGCAATTGACGCGCACACTTTTTTTTAGCAAGGTAGGGTACCACAACATGAAATAGACACTAGAGGATGTGCGCACACTTTGGTTAATTAGAAAGTTTATCATTAATAGGCTCTTCGTATTCGTAAAAGAACTTATAGTGAAGCGGATCAGGTCCATCACCAACCAACCTTTGTAAATGAAGAGAGACAACGAGACGCTAGATTAGCAGGACCTGAAGCTCCCTTAAAAGGTAAACCGTAATTAAATTTATTGAATCTTCTATATAAATATAATCAAAGGTGCAATCCACCTCCAAATAATTATGTGGTATCAAATTAACCAGCATTTTTTAGGCCATGATTTATCAAGGTCAAGATCGTTTATTATTAGTTTAACCATATAACTGTATACGATCTATACTTATCTATACGATGCTTAATGACAGTAACGGATGATGTATTCTTGCGGTAAAGCGTGTATGAAAGAAGATAAGCCGATCCATGGGCACCGCGCGAAGTCGGGAATCGATAAAATGCCCTATCAGGTTTACAATTAGCTACAGAAAAGATCCAGTTTTTAGTTTCAATAGGAGCCCTTCAATTTTACCATGGCTGGTCATAATTTGCATCTAATTTTTCCCAACTCAATCCACGAGCGAACATTGTAGGTCGTGCTGGTTGGGAAGAGATAAAGAAATACTTATTGCTGTACTTATATATAACTTTCGTTACAGAAAACAAAATTCCCAGCAGTAAACCAACAACTATCTCAAAACCAGAAAAATTACCACAAATCTCTGATGTTCAAACGCATCATACAAACCAGGTTCCAGAAAGATCTTTCCAAGACAGGTTGAAAGGTTTATTTTGCTGTGTGTCCTAATTTCTAACACACAAAAAAACGTGTGTCTTTACAATAATGTTACCAAACTTTTTTTTTTAAAATTTGAATTTCATGATGCACTCCCACCCCAACAGTATCCATATCCTGGAAATTGTGAAAATAAATTTAACTATTATTTTAAAATGTAAATATCAATTAAATATGTATAAAATTTCAAAAAGAGTATCTGTTTCTATGTTCCGGTTCAATGTTGTCATATATATAAATCCTTAAATGTGATCAATATTATTATAGGAAGCCACAGTGGCTCAGTGAGTAAGACAATGGCTCGCTAACCTGGAGATCCGTATTCGATCATTGGGATTTTCTGGCATGGTTCCACCTTGTCAGGGGACAAGTTATAGTCATCCAGATGGTGCGAAAAACCAAGGTTCTATGTTTACATTGACATGCAAGTAAAAGAACCTTTGTCAGTTGGAATTTGAAATAAGAGTAGTCTGTGGGGCTGCCGTCCAGGCCAAATTTCCTTTTATAGCACACTGTTACAGTGTATGCTCTTCTTCAGAGCAGAACAGTAGGGCATTAAACCCCATTTCATATCATTATAGCTCATCTGAGTGCACCACAGTCATAGCCAGCCAGCCCCACCCCATTGTGAGTGTTGTTTTTTGTTTTTCTAAAATAAAAGATAATAAAGATGATGTATACACTAAATATTATTGGTTATGTTCTGGTTACTATTAGACCTATATTTTGTATTGACGAGCCTAAGGGTCCACTGTGGTGGGCCCCTGTCTAGTCACTATTTTCATTGTTTGGAGTCGGGGCCCTCACAAGCCTATGTGGGGCCCTAGGGCAAAAGTTTTAATCTATTATGGAAGGCTCCACAGAGGATTTGGTTTTTGCTGCTCCGCTTGTCCCAGCCCCCCCCCCCCCCCACCTCAGAAATAAAACCAAAACAAAACAAACTCAATCGACTAATAGTATGCATAGAGGGAACTGTAATATCTTTATTTCTAAAAAAAACCTCTTAATTGTCACGCTATGGCATCTGTTGTATATATCTATTTTCTCTTCTGTTAGGGTGACCTACCATAAATAAATATCTCCATATATCTCGACAATTTCGCCACAATATTTATATATATATGCCAAGCCTCAAATCAGTTTCACACAATTATAGTCACTAAATAAACGATCATGTTGTACTTAATAAGCTATGACCATTAATCATCTATAAATAATAGACTGAAAACTGGTTCCATGTGTCGTCCATAACATCCAGACACTCTTGAGTAAAAGATAGGTTACGTGCCCTTGTTTTGAAATTAGTCTCGCTTAACCAGTCTATCGACCATTCAAGGGCTGATTGACAGGTCGGGATAATCAAGACTACTTTTTTACGAAACATAACAGAAAGCTAGAACAAGAAATTGAATTTAGAAATGAGCACGTTAGCTAGCTCAACAATTGTTTTAAGAAGCTTGTAAAAGTAAAATGAAACTACTGCTAGTATCATGTTCCTGTCTAACCCGAGTGCTTCAGAGATATTATTTGTACTAAACCAAAAGATGCCGCTCTGAACGGTACAGTTAATGATCAAGCGATTTAAAAAATGAAACGAACGTAATTTCTAAATCTGCTGTAATAACCAAGAAGCCTAATTTTACTGCTATTCAAAATCGTCAACAATAAATTTTTTACGGCTGTAATAGTTGATAGATTTGTAGAGAATTGCACGTGCCATGGCTATTTATAGTATCATACTGTCAGAAAGTTGGCCTCGCCACGGCGAATGTGCACACTTCAGTGGTAGTCTCAAACTATCAGCGGTTGACTGTATTTCTGTAGGTGCATGGGCCACCCTACTTCTGTCTTATATATTTATATAAGGAGTACGGAAAAGTAATAACACTCTTTAGTCCCGAGATAACATTTTGAAATAAATAAGATTTCTTTTCCTCTGACCACATTCCTACACCTTTTTTGTCAGCTTTACTTTCTAACCTCACTAGTTCAATAATTAGATCTTGATACAACCGACTTTTAGGCAAGACTCCATAATCGCGCACCTTTCCTATTCCTCCAGTTATTAGGCATTTGTTAATGTTTTCCTTGAGGAAACCCTGGAAATAAAAAAAGTACAGTGTTATATACAATGCATGCAGCAGTGAAATGGAATTGGTCTTAACACATCCCCATAATTTACCTGGTGTTATTTATTGGCCGCATTTCGGCGTATACTCTTCTTTCAATTCCATGGAAAAATGAAATGAAATGGGGTTTAAGTCCTACTGTTCTGCTCTGACTGGGTTAATGAAGACGGGCATATGCCATACAGTGTGCTATGAGGGAAATTTTGCCAGGAAAGCGGTGCTACAGCCTACTCTTATATCCAATTCCAACTGCCAAGGGGTCTTTTACAGATTACATGCACGCCACCCAAACGTGTCCCTTGCCAGGCCCTCTGTCCTGCACCATTGACAAGGTGGAACCACGCCGGAAAATCCTGATAAACTTTCACGGCCAACGCAGAAATCGAACACAGGACCTCCACTCCTCCAGGTTAGTGAGCCATTGTCTAACCCACCGAGCCACCGGGGCTCCCTATTTATCCAATCCAGCTTTCACAATCTTAGCCAAACCCGTGTTACATAAAACACTTATTCTTGAAATATCATGATGGTCCATTCTCTGCCTATACCAACATTTTTGTTTTATCGAATCCCACTACTCCCAACAATTAAAGCTATTGGGCAACTGAACTCACTGATAAACTTGTAGAGTCCTAATTCACCCATACCTGTATTTGAAACCCGGTGCAACCTTTAGAGATGATAAACCACTTTTCTATGTTTGATTTAAGATATACAGAAGATAACAATGGCTATAACAAAAAATTCATTACAAATTTAATAACCGCCCCATGTACATCAATCAGTGGTATGTCGACAATTTAGTAGTATTCCAAATTACTTACTCTTCGAATTTTAATAATAGCGTCAATTCTATCTTCCTCTAATTCCAAAAGCTGGAACCAAATATGTTTATTTCTAACATTGTCATTTAACCAATCTAAAACGGAATGATTTAGATTGACACCGGCTAAACCTATGGGGATACATCTGTCCTTTACACCTGTTAAAAAGAAAACACATTTTTAAAATATTCATATGAGCATATAGTCAAGTTATCTTTAATATAAACGTAATGCATTAAAACCGGCTTTATATTATTTAAATGGGGTAGGCAGGTGAGACGAGAAGAAGAACATATATAGCGACTTCTGAATACGCACGGTAAAAAAGTACAAAAGAAAAAAAATCCATAAATACTTACAACCAGTAGTGCTAGATTTCCACCATTTTGTAAATGGTATTGTAAGAATAGGTTTATGCTCTGCCCATATTATAGGCACCTTATCAGGTCCACCGGAAATATTGCCATCTATTCGTTTTACCTCCCCTTGTAGAGTAACATTTCTATCAATAAATGTAGATGGTATATCATGTATTCTTATAAACCGTTTAGTCTAAAATTTAAAAAAGCAAAGTTATTAAAATTAGACAATATCGTTTATATTTTGTCCAAAATAAAACCCCATTAAAATTAAATATTTTAAGAATGCTGTCTTTTTAATTCTCAATGAAAATGTTGAATTCTTAAAATATTTTAGTTTATTTAAAAGGCCCTGGGTCGTCTTAGGTTTAAAATCTCTATAATTCATCACAAAACGAAGCCCTGTATTCTGTAAAGACAGTCTGGTCGATCAATAAGTGATCTGAATATAGTCTTGAAATAAATATGCCAGACATCAAGGCAGTACAACATGAAAATAAAACGTAGTTGACAGTTGATCAAATTGTGACATAAATGGGCAGTTTTGAAATGAAATGTACAAAACAAAAAATCAGAAACTAAATTTTTAACTGGTAGCCAAAAGCACATACTTGAACTTACCCCATAAATGTTTTTGATGATTAATATACATCCTATTCCTCCAATTCCATATAATGTCCACTAAAAAGGGATATAATACAGAATTAAGCCAAGTTATGTTAAAACGAAATAAGGGTTCCGGTACTTACATGCTTGCTTCTACCATTTTGTTTTTCGACACCTTAAATAACTTGACTTGATGAATTAAAGACAAGGTAGACATTGTTTACCTGTTTTCTTTCGTAAATTAAAACCTATGGGTATCCAGACCACATCGCATTGTAAAGTAGCCTACAACCCTACTGAGGGTAACAGTATTTATGCTAACTTAAACATACATTATGCAAGAGCAAAATCTGATTATTGCAAGTCTTAATTTAGGCTTCAGATGTTATAGAAATTATAAATTAGATCTTTATTTAAACAACAAGCCCAAAATCAACTCTGTAGACCAACGGATGGCTCGGCTACAGCTCGGATTTAAATAGGATTTCACTTATTGATAAATTCAAATATGGCGCACCCTGATGAGAATACGTCAGTTAGATCGAGGCTAAATGATAGAGTGTACTTAGCGAGGCCGCTGTAGAGCGTTTCCGCATGCCATTGAAAACTTAACTTGATAATCGAGATATGTAGGTGGAGTTAACGCCTGTCAATCAAACGTTCGGCCAAGGTGAAGGTACATTTCACTACCATTTCTAGTCAAATATTACAACGATGATAACTATGTTCAGAATAAAGTAATTTGACTGAAATTTTCAATATATTCTTCTTTAATCATCTACTTTTGAACTGTTATTGCAAGAATGGCCAACTCTCTATAAAAATCTCCCATAATGTATCTTTAATTTCGAATGGTACGGTGATCAACAGCAGGGCACTCCTTTACTTAGTGGCTAAACTATTTTGGTACCGATATTCTTATTTGCTTCTTCATTCTTAGATGAATCATTGTGCTGGAGGATGCATGGATATAAATATGAGAATGTAGATAAAAACGTTGCAAATGCAATACCGTGATGTGTTTTAGTCTGGTAAACTACTGAAATGGTAACAGTAAGCATACCCGAAATCTGCTGGTCACGATCATAAGCATGATCATAAGACTAAGCCCTGATATTATCTAATATCAAAAATCATATAACACAAGGTAGGCCTACAATTTTTATGGATACACAATTACTGAGTTTAATACTAAACGACGTTTTGACAAAAGTATACTCTCGTCTTTATCAGGCAAATGTATTAAACTCAGTAATTGTGTAAACATAAAAATTGTACCTGTTTGTGGCAGGATACTGGATCTTGGTCGATCTGGAAAAATATCTTTCCATATATGGGGCCTACTACCCACAATTCCAACCCTAACCCTTCAGAATAGTTTTACCCACCATCAACCGTTTTTACGGCTTCAATTTGTACGTTTGACATGTAAATTGTAAACCTTACCCTAGAAAGATATTTTCCAGATCGGCTTGTTTGTGAGGCCTGTCGTCACAAGCCTTACTTGTGTCAAAAGACAAAAATGTCATTTGTTGCTTGACTTTCAGAGAAAGTTCCTACTGATATGTCTATTTAACATAAAAACTATTTATTTAACCTTTATTTCTTGGATATGCCCATCTATGAAATTTAACAATGTATGTCTATCTCTTCTTGACATCTAAATACCTTGTTACGACTATACAACTAGTAGTTCACTAGTTTTATTTTTATTTTGTTTTTTACTAAGAGTTATCTTTGCATGAAAGAGTAGACAACTCTATTCCACGTACCAGGGGGCAGACCACCATTAATTTCCCCATTGACTTCAAGGTTAATTCTGGCCTCTGCCCACCTCCAACTTTTCCCCAAATTTTCGTTGGGCTGAATGCTTTTCACTACAGACAGAGGAGGAACAAATGGTCATGCCTTTGCACTAAAATTTGTATGAGGTTGACCACCAAAATTTTGAGATACACAAACTTTAAGAAGCATACTAAAAACATGTACCGGTAACTAAACTAGTTGCCGTACTCTACATATCGCCGTAGCCAACCTGATAACACCGTTATCCTTCCGCCTCAAAATCATGAATATTTACCAAAACCTGGCAGAAAATGTTAATTCAAACCCTCTTCGTCCATTCTAGACCAAAAAATCAACAAAAATGGGCATGCAAAAGGAGAGAAGAGAGAGAGAGAAAATTGCTATAAATAGAAGAACTACAATTCGTGTGAAATTTAATGGTGGTCTGCCTCATGGCTTTATATAAGTTCATATATATGACATTTTTATAATAAAACAAGTGAAATGGTAAAATTTCAAAAATATTTGACAAATTTTTGAGGAGGATTTTTTATTTAAGTCCAAATTTTGTGATTTTCAGTGTTTATTTACTTTTCAAAATTACCGGTAGTTGAAAATATTTTAATGTGTAATTTAAACTTTTTCTGCATCATAACGTTTATGCGGGAAGAAAGTATCATAATTTCATACAAATTTTAGTGCAAAGACATAACCATTTGTTCCTCTGTAGTGAAAAGCATTCAGCCCAACGAAAATTTAAGGAAAAGTTGGAGGTGGGCAGATGCCGTAATTATAACATTGAAGTCAATGAAGAAATTAATGGTGGTTTGCCTCCATCTAGAATGGAGTTATCTTCCATTGTACACGAAGACAGAATACAGATCACTAATAATTTCCCCACTGACTTTAAAGTACCGGTAGTTAAGTCTCTAACTCATTATCATCCAAATACTTTGACATTGAAAACACCAATTATTTGTCAATTTAAATCAACATTGATGTTGTGATCTTGTCGGGAAAAGATGTGCTTCTGATATCCAATATTTAAGACAAAATAAACATTTTACTATTGGTACATGAATCATGTAGGCTACCATAATGCGTTTCAACCTTTGTAACAAGAGACTCGAAGAACAATGCTAGACATATTCCACAAGTCATGTCAAACAGTGACACATATTCTTATCTGGAGAGCATGCGCAATAAATATTATCGGTGTTGACTGTAATAACCAGACGCTAAAGATTGTCAATGGATTGAGACTTCTGGCCCAATTCGCCGAACAGAACTGATTAGAAATTACAGTAAAACAGAAACGATTGAATGTAAATCAGTTTATATACATTCATATTACCGGGTACATTATTATATGCGTTGCGGCCCATTTGTGTCAATTTCTAGGTCCCAGATATTGGTGATTTAGCTCCTTTAATGTTAATTCTCATCTCTTAAACCGGTTCTAACTTTTTCCCAAATTTTCGTTGGGTAGAACGCTTGCTACCACAGATGGAGCAACATGTGGTAACTTCTTGCCCAAAAGCACGTATGAGGTCCACCATGGAAAACTTAAGATACACAAACTGGAAATAAAGACTAGTTAACATGCAATTTTCTGCCCTACATTTCAACCTAAGCAACCTCTCAACTCTGTATCCTTCTGCCTCAAAATAATGAGTATTCACCAAAACCTGGCAGAAAATGTATTTTTAAACCCTTTTCTTCGATTCTACACCAATATGTCAACAAAAACCGCCATGCAAAAGGGAGGGAAAGGAAAAGAAAGACTAAAAATAACTTTCGCTCTTCATTCATCAGTGTAGGAATATTTGGTGAGCTGTGTCCATATGAATATTAATGTCATAGCTAGACACCACATCCCCAATATTTCAAACCAAATTTTATTGAAAAAATCTATTAATAGACTAAAGCCCTTTAAACGTCCGCAAAACACAAAAACAACCAAAACATTTCTAGACAATTTGTGTATATGAGTTGTGCTGTGTCTGTTATTTTAAATAAAACAATGTTTACTACATTGTGTTTTAATTTTTATTATTTATGCCAATAATAATCATCAATACATGTAAAAAGAAAGACTAAAAATGTGTAGTTTTATTCAAACTACAAACAGGGGCGTAAATACTATAATAGTCGATTGCAAAATAAGTGCAGTCGGTCCCAAAATTATGCATTAGCGACTAAATGAATGAATGAGGTAAACAAAATACAAGGGAAAAATCCAAAATACTTAATATATGTATGAATATATCTATGTATACTTATGATTGCTTTGATTCGATATCACAATACGTGTCAGTTTTTCAAAGTTCAAATTTGTTAAAACTGTTATGCATTCAGTGATGAAACAGGAACGCCTCAATGGCAGACACGATCAATCTTGACCATCAATCGGTGGTCAAACTTGATTTGGTGCAGACACTTGATGAAAATATGAGGACATAGTCATATCTTTGCTAATTTATGTACATGTATATTCATCACAACAATATATCAAAGATATAGGTCCATGTAAATTATTATCACTTTTCCGAAGTTGTCACTGTTTAACAGTCCTTTGTACGTTTTTGCATATTTCTTAATAAAAAACCTGAATTCTCATGCATAGTACTCAATTTTACTCATGTTAAGTGTTTTCTGACCATCAGAATTCTACAAAATCTTCCCCCAAAGTCCACGAAATGACATTTCAGGGACTCTAGATTTAAAAATTTCCATGGGTGAGCATGCCCCCCCCCGGATCCACTAGAACGCTCGCACCTGTCCTGCTTGGATCGGAGCTGCGTCACTCGTATTAGGGGTCTGTGCATCAGCAGGTCTCAGTTTTCCTAAACACCTCAGCCCGAAACAAAATCAATATGTACGCCCCTGTGTACACATGCATATATTCTATCACCTGTCAACATAACAATTTAACTATAATATATTAAACATATCTCAATCATATCCCACCAATCTTTTATCAATAATATACCCATTCTTTCGGCCATTATTAGGCTAGCTGCCATATGTATATACAAATAACACTCCTTCAATAGTAAAAATAAAATATTTTGAGATTATTAGCATATTACCCTATATCAAAATATCACGCCATCAATTTTTTCCATTTTATAACTACATTATCACTTGATAAAAATATATGCCAAATCAATAACCTAGAAACTTTATTATGTTACTTGTAGGCTTTCTAAAATATATTAAGTGCTGCCCGACGTAGGCCTACTTCCAAAACACTGATACATTAAATAATTTCTAAAACGTTACGTTTATTATTCAGAACAAAATACTTGTAAAACACTCTCCACTGTTAATATTTACACATTTCATTAAATATAACTCTATAAAATATATATATTTATGTATATATGACCAGATAAAAGTCGCGAAGAAACAGAAAAATACTTTTAATTTTTCTTACAACTAGGTTTTAATATTCTATGTGTGCAAGCCTGGACAGAAGGCAGTTGCCACAGACTTTGTCAGACACATTTTATAACATGACATATATGCACAAAGTCTGTGACAGAGGCCTTATGCCCAGGCTTGTATGTTTGGTCCGTCACCCAAACCACAGTAACTGCTGACAAAACAGAAAAGTACCATAATTAATGGCATAAATATGACAACACACACCTAGTGTAATTGTACAGTTGAACAAGTTTTCAAAAGACTTTGCACGAGCACAACCAAGAGAAAATGTGTTAGACCTTGTTCTCAAAGGAGCTGTCACCGATACTCGCATGAATTTGAAAAGCAGAAGATAAACCAACCACTCAACTTGGTACCGTATTTTAATCATCAGTTACTAGGATATAAACTAAATACTTTGTAGGCTACATGCCTTCAAATACAATCTGAAATTTTATTATGGGATGATCTGTTAGTTTATATGTTAGCCCTAGTCCCAGAATGATAATTATTGCTAAACTATGGAAATCTTTCAAATTATAAGATATTAAAATTTAATGTTTTTCTTCATATCACTGTTTTATCAATGTTTTTAATTAGTTGACTGTTCTCCTGTTCGAATTTTGTGGATGACTTCTCCCAACATGGCATTACACATGGCAGCATATGGATTAGCAGCTACTATCTGCTGTTTAGCAAACTCATTTCCCAGCTGAGCAGCTTTCTTAAAATCCTCCAAAGCATCCTCATCATTTCCTAAAACATAAAATTGCATGATGAATTTTCAATTAAGAATTAATTGATGGTTGATATCTGAGGATATAAGAGATTAAAGAAATTTAATTCAAATTATATCACATCTGAATTTTTATTATGTAATTTTGTCAGTATAATAAATATATAAAATATTTTTCTTTAGTCAATAAATCAAACAATTTCATTAAAGATACATTAGTTAGAAGTTTAATAAAGAGTTGGTCATTCTTGCTATAATAATTCAAAAATAGATGATGAAAAAAGAAAATATTGAAAATTTCATTCAAATTACTTCATTCTCAGCCAAGTTATGACAAGATGCGTGCACAGTGGTAACCAGCGCACTGGTATAATCGGGACTTAGCCTCACTTTCCCATTTTTAAATTAAATTTTTAAATGGCGAACCGTTTTAATCTAGTTAAAATCTCGAGTATCCGTTGCCATCGAGAGTCGATTATGGTTTTGTTTTGTTAATAAATGTCTAATTAATAGTTTATATAACATTTCAGGCCTAAAGAAAGACCTGCAATAGGCAGATTTAGCTCTTGCATAGTGTATGTTTAATGTCAACCATATCACTGAACAGAAGATTAACCATATTGACATGGCTACATTAGTACATTCACTCACACTCTCTGACGACCAATGTGGAACATACCTGCTAATTTTCTTAAAAGAGCTCTCTGGGTAAAAGCTTGTTTAGCTGGTTTCCCTATACCATTACTCAACTGTATTGCTTTACTCAAATCCAGTAGAGCCTCTGTAAAAAACATAGTTATACTTATTTTTTAAGTTTAAGCTTTGGAATATGTTATATAAACATTATATTATACATGTACATTGTTTTCAAGTCACTCGGCTTTCTTGAATTAATTCTCCAAAAGCATGATTATTGCCATTTTGGGACTAACAGACATGTTGTAGAATTATTTCAAGAATCTGTTAGCGAGTAGGGGTCTTTATTAGTTGGGTCAAAACTCTGCCACTAGACTCAATGACATATTATACCTATCATCTTAAGCACACTACATGTATGACTGATACATCTATGTTCACATTACTTTAGAGTACAAAATTACCAAGACCTTCAAGTTAAAATACATGTATCATGTCAATTCAAAGAGACATGTGTTCACTGCAGAAATTCTGACCTTTCCTAGTAATACTATATGATGCTTGTACCATATATGGTTTCTCTAAACATAAAGTTGTGTCAAGTTTAATAATTGGGCAGTCTAGGATCAAAATTATTTTGAAATAAGCTTATAAATAATATAATATTAAATTACATGTATAGATTATTTATTTCTTCATGAATATTATATGATGTAAGAGGATACATGGTTTATTAAATACCTTCATTTTGTCCTTTCATTCTGTAAGCCTGTGCTCTATTATTGTAAGCAGATGGCCACTCCGGAGCCTTCGCTACAGCTTGGTTGAACAAATTCAGAGCTCCATCAATATCTCCAGTTTCGGCAAGTTGTACACCTTGCAACTCTAGTTCTTTTGCTTCAAGTACAGCCTGACTTGGTGGTGGTTCTGTAATGTAAACAATACCATAAGCAACATCAAGTTGTTGATTTCTTTTTTAAATAAGCATAGTATAGTTGTTTAATCAAATATAACTAAAACATCTTGTCATACAACAGATTATTTGCAGTACATAATGGTGCGTAATTTGCATTTTATCAGAAAATACTGAATGTCTTAATCCACGCTGGTATGTATTTAACGTTTAAATAAGAAAACAAAATCAAAATATCAATGCTAGATAATCACCGAACTTGGATTCAAGCCAGATACACTCCGGGCTTGGATTAAATCTGATTAAAAACAGGCTTATCAATTAGATTTTGCGAACACGTTATAATATCATCTCGTCATCCAAAAACAAACAGACATGTATTTGGGGATCAGCCTACCATAGATTGCAAAATGGTGAAAAGCTCAACTTGAAGGAAATGTAGACCTGTTTTACCATTTGCATAGAATGATAGAATTTTGCGTCATCATATCTTTGTAATACTGAACGTAATAGAACTGTCTTTAGCCTGATATAGTGCTAAGCTCTAAAGCATTTCGCACATCTCTTTTCCGGTAACACAGGAGCATAACTGAAACTTTCATAGACTGTTGACTTATTCAGACCGGAACAGGATACACAGGGCAAATCTCTCATCCAAGCCTGATTACGCATCTTACCAAATTAATCAATGACGTCAATGAAAATAATTTTCCCACATGTTTTTTTTTTCCAAATGAATCGGTTATTAACCCAATACTCATATACAATTTAAAATTAAATTAAGATCAATTATTTAATGATACCTTCCCGCGTACAAACTGGGTGATTTGATGATATATTTGGACTAAACTAAACACAAACATGACCTCTTTTGATCCATTTTTATAGCAGTGTATTCCTTGGCAATTACAATGTTTTGAGAACGATTTGAAGCAAAATTATGATAAATTAATTAGTTTGAATATGTTTTTAGTCCAAATATATCATCAAATCACCAAGTTTGTATGCGGGAATGTATCTTTAATTATGCAACTTCGCTCTACTCAGCAGAATTTGTGATACATATTTTGTCCATCGCTAATCAAAATCTAACGTTTTTTTTTATTCAAAGTAACTGCGAATCATTAATATGCTTGTCACTTTGGATATTGACACAAAGATTATCCTCATTTTGAAGACTAGAAGGCTTTCTCAACACTTTCAACGTGTATAAAATGTAAAATAAAATTTCATAAACAAAACTGAATTCTCTGTGTGACATTTTCTTCTCGAACTACCCAGAAACAATTCATTATACTATATAATACAGGAAACATAACTCTATGAATAGAGACTATTAAACCGGAAATAGGGAATCAAGTAGTACCACACACGTTGCGAGACATGTCAATTTCAAGTAATTATACCAGTATTCATTTTGAAAGAAGTAAATCCAGTGTATGCTCCACGTATTGTAAATAAAATATAAAAAAATAAATAAATGTTAACGTATTGTAAAATGATAAATCAAAGTACGAATTCCCGTAAAATATTATTGTTTATAGTTAATCGAGGTGTGTCCGATTCAACAACAATAGCAATACATGATAAAAAGCAGACAAAATTGTTTTCTAACGAAGATTTCTAACGTAATGAAGAAATAACAATTAAAATGAGTGGGGCTTCGGAAGTCACTGCCAAGAATTGGCTTCAGACATAAGACCTAATCAAAAGTCTACATCACATTCACAAACTGTCATAACTACATGTGGTAGTGCTAAAAAATTGAAGAATGAAATCTAATCATTTGTTATGAATTAAAGTAATATCTTGCCAATCAAATTTGGCAAAATTGGACTTTTTGATCAACTGTGAAAAATTACCGACAGCCCGGTAGCGCAACATTTCGGTCCCCGATTCATTTCGGACTCAACACAGACGACCTTTCGGACTCAGTATGATGACGGTTCGGACTTACTTGACGACTTTTTGGACTCAGTCTGGCGACGTTTCTGACTCTGATGAATAATTAAAAGATTGTTTAAAATTTATGTGATATATAGTAACAGCTGTTTGTTTTTTCGTTTTATTTAAACATACATTATGCAAGAGCTAAATCTGATTGTTGCAAGTCTTTATTTAGGCTTCAGATGTCACAGAAATTATAAATTAGATCTTTATTTACACAACAAGCACAAAATCAACTCTGTAGACCTACGGATGGTTTGGATTTAAACAGGATTTCATTGAATGATTAAATTTTTAAATGGCGTCGTAAGCGGAGATTAACCGTTACGTTGACGTCATACTCCAGGAAATTTTAGACCAAGGCTAAATGATAGAGTGTACGAAGTGAAGCCGCTGTTGAGCGAGGCGGCATGTCAGTCAATTTGATTGAAAGTTTGATATATACGGCATTGATATTATGTTTAGTTGTGGTTAGAATGAGAGTTTGGATGTCGGTATTATACGCTCTTTTGTCACTTGCGTTTACAGAAAAATTATGGAAATTGATAAACATGGAAATTTGTGTATATTTAGTAATACTTTGTTTTTCTTTTATCAAATATTTAACGAGCATGATTGACAGATCACTGCTAATAATTTTTCGTGATTTAACGGAATAATTGCAATCAACACACGGCCACCATTATCGATGATTGACAACTCAGGTTTTTCCTCATCCACCAAAGAACCGTAAGGTTTCTTTGCACATACTACAATAACATTGGGATTATCGGTTAATCAGCTTTAATTATCCTGCTTTGATCGTTGTCATTTCTAATATTTTCCACAAAAAAACACTTTGCTTTGTACGCACTAATTTGTCGATTTATACTGCCATCTACAACAAGCTTGTCGAGGAATGCATGGCAAGGTGCAGCTTACAGATTATCGTTAACAATTTCTAGGGACTTGTAAAAACAGTGCATGTCGTGTAAATATTTATTTTTGTTTTTTGTGTAGGTCATTTTGAAATAAATTCATCAGCATATTTTTTCTTTTAAAAAAATATATTACTTTTACGGGAAACGATGATTATCAAAGAACCGTAAGTGCAAAAGTCTAATGTTTTATCGTTTGGTGGAGCCTTTTAATAACCATTTGTTTCATGTTAATAAATATTTTCTTACGTGTTTTGAATTGGCCTATTTCTAATAAATTTATCAGCAACTTTTTTTTATACATAGTACAGGCAAATAAATAAAATAATCTTTTCGTAAACATTCAAAATTGTAAGTCCGAAATGACAAGTCACAAGGATCAGGGACCGAAATGACATGTAATCGACAGCCCTGTCTGTAGTGTTACCTAATTTGAATAATATCGTTGCCCAGTAAAATTGACTGGTGTTCAAAAGTTTTCCGACAAGGATTCAATAGGGCAGTTCCTGAACGTACAGGGCGAGTGTAATGAGATCTACGTTTAGAACTGAACTAGACAACAATCATCAGATTAGCTTCGCTCTACTTACTTTAATACTTTATTTCATTTGTTTGAGGAAGCTTCTCTTCTAGGCCACGTCTACTTACCTATGAAAACTGGCGTATCGCACGTTTTCTCTTCACACTCTAAATATGGTAAATTAGGGTTGAATATTTGTGATAATATAGCATTATCGTGAGAAGTAATTTCACATTTCATGGAGGTCGCCATGTTTACTTTTACAAATTGTTCAGGAATTGTAAAACGAAACAAATTTTAAATATTCAACTCTATTATATTTTGGGTTATACTTTTTTGATGTAACAAAGCTAACATTTAAGATTTATGTTGTGAATGATATTTACAAAGTGTTTCAAAAAGGTCTGATTCTAAAATAGTTTTATCCTGCCTTTATTTCGTTTCGGATATATTTGTAGTTGTAAATAGTTTGGTGTCGTAAAATACAAGATATTTTAAAATAACATAAAAAAAAAGAATAATTTAAGTATTTTGATTAATATTTAGTAAACTAATTGAACTAAAAGAAATTCAACCCCTTCCTGTTGGATAACCCCAAACTGTTAGACAGCATTTACGACATTCATAGCTCGGCTAATTAGTAATGGCGGAAGATGGAGAAGGTTTTGACAGTTGGGAAGAGCAAGAAGACAGTGGTGTATGGATAGATTATTTAAATCTCTTTTTTTTTTGTTGCTACAGACAGACTGCTCCCAATTGTATATGTCATGTAGAACTTTATCAAAAGGATGGATGTCATCACTTGTTTCAATTGGGTTACCTTATCAGGTACCATATTGATAACAAATCTTACCTCTCGACCCTCTCAGCCTCTGTGTTTCGAGATAAGAGATGATGCCATTATTAACTCCAATGTAGCACATGCGGGAGCAATTCGCACCCGGCATTTGTAAACAAAATTGACAATATTTTTAATCAAAACAACGATTGATTATTGTTCTTTATAATATTTCTGCCACATCCAACTACAATTTTAATTTAGCATATAATAAATCCTACCTGAAACGGGTACAAATCGTCATTTTTAAAATCGAGGCATTAAGCTGTTTCTAAGACCGCCATCTTTTTAAACGATACGCTGTCATCATGAAGGTGGGGCTAAATATAAGGCTTTTATAACAGCCAATCAAAAGGGCAATCTAAAGCATTTAACTATGAATGGATTTCGATGGCGGTGAATGTCAGACAAAAACAACGCTTCATTAATTTAAACACGAATAATTGGAGTTAGGCGACAGTTGTGCCACTACATTGGCCTCTGTAAGTTTAATTAATCATAATAGCATAAACTCATCTTATTTTAAAGATGTAACATGCATTAATAAAGAAATTGAGTTTGCCACTTGGAACTAAAGGCATCCAATCATAGCTAAAAACAAACACATCAGTATATCTCAAGGTTTTTAGCTATGTTCTCGTAGCTACATTCTTAACACTAGCCAATTGCTGTGTTCCAAAAATGCAAACTTGAAACTTGGGTATGATGTTGATGATAAACAAAAGTAAACTGGAAAGATCAGCTGTGCATTCCATATTGACACCTTTTATTCAGGCACAGATACAGGGTGGAGATGAAACCATAGATAAGAATTGATCATTTCACTTTCAGCTATATAAGTATAAAGACAGTTGCACTGGGCAAGATACTACTACTACTACTGTACTAGTTTCTAAAGCTTTCACACAAAATTGATCAGTTTTATTCACTGATGTTAACATTTGAATAAGGATATACCATCAAGTGTTCATGATATTTTGTCGTTATCTATAAAGACGCATTAAAATTCAATCTTGTTTAAGATCATTTGTGTTCCTCTTTCAAAACTGCTGAATTCTTAATAACATATTCCATGCTGCAGTTAACAATGTTATCTTCCAATTTTCTCCAGTCACTATAAACCTTGACTTTTTATAGTGATAGTTTCATATTTTATAAGAAAGACTGTGAATTATTACTATTTATATATATCTGTTGCTCGATAGGGAAATATTTTCTATTCCCCCCACAGTATACGGAAATTTGATCATTTGTCAATGGAAGTGTTAGATTGGCCACGTCTGTGGCACAAATGGGGCTTTCAAAGCAAAACATTTTACTTTCAACAAGAAAATATTATTTTTGTCAATTTCTCAACTGTAGTGAATTATAGAATTAATAGGATTATTCTTTAGTACGGATGCCATGTATTTTAAAGCTCTATTTTAACATATACATGTATGATCTAAAAAAAATGGAATTGTCTCTTTAACTGACTCAGTTAAACCTTGAAAACCATATTAATGATCTTTGCAAAGAGTGTTATTTAGGCAGTTATGATCAATTAATCCGAAAAAAAAATTCTGTTCCTCGGTTGAAGTAACCATCTTTTGGCGGTCGCTCTTTTCAAATTACTGCTTCTACAAAGTGGAATAAACTACCCTCACAGAGATCTACACTTACATGTAATCAGACTTTTAAATTGATCTACTTGAATTATGTGCAAACTTATATTATGTGCCATGAGTACTTTTTGTGGATTTTCGATTTAGCAGTTTAGAAGTGGACATCAGCATCATTATTAATATTATTATTATATTATTATTTAAAGATGGCTATGTTTTCTTTATTGATAAAATCTCTTAAATACCACAATGTGTGTAAACTGGTGTGGAAACCAATAGTTACTTATGATCCAGTCAAACTGTATTTTCCAGCTCAAGCGCATCTTTAATAGTTTGTGTATTTTTAATTCCAAATTGATCAATATTTATTTATAGATGCTGGATAAACGAATTGGAGAATTGAAACTAGAAACATCAGCCACAGTAGATAAAGAGTGAGTACGATATTCTAAACTAGCTTAAGATTCAAGATCCATTTAAAGATTATGTTATCTAAAGCTTAAGCTAACTGGAGTAAAAACAAGGCCTTCATAAAGAATGGGCCGGTTGTATAAAAAAATATTATTATTACTTTGTTTTTCTAAGCAATAAAGAGGTCTTGGGTGGTCAAGTGTTCTAACGTGCACTTTAGATCATAAAATATGTCTGTACAAGGAGTAGGGTTGCCTGTCGAACCTTGTTGGTTTTCTCAACGTTCTCCAGATTCCTGATTTCCTCCCACTGCTAAAGACTCCAACATGCCAGTGAATTATTGAAATAAAATCAAATGATTTAGTCACGAAATAACCTGGTTTGTGATGAGTGGACTTAAAACCCCATCTCTCTCTCTCTTTCTCTCTCTCTCTCTCTCTCTCTCTTTCTCTCTCAAAGACACATCAGGGTTGTGGTTTGAAATCAATAGAAGCCAAGGTAAACTTTAAAAGTCATGAGAATCGATTGATTTGAATAATATTTGGACTAGAATTTTCTTTGATAGAAATAAACTTACTTTTTGATTGTTTATGATCTTAAACTCTAGATTTAACTTATTCTGGCTTAAATAATAAGACACATTTATATTTTTCAGTGGTTCGAATATGTTAGTAAAAGAGATAAGCTCTAGAACAGAATATACACCACAAGTAAGGATACTGAAACGAGATCATGCAGCTCAAAACCAGAATGTGTCGAACAAAATACAAAGGTAATAGTAAGTGCAGGAGGACTGCACCATGCACAATTACACTATTGTAAGGACATAATACATAGACACCTCAAACAACAAATGCACATATCAGGTCAAGTGAATGGATTAAGGACTAGATTTAACCGTCCACTGTTCTGTACAATCACAGGCCTGCAATGATACAGACTTCACTCAAAATGAAAAATTAACTAACAAGGGAGTACTATGATTGGATGGTTGTTTACTCCCCCCAATATTTCATCTAGTATAAATAATGTACGATTGACATGTTTCCCGTATTTGAAATAATCGTATGCCAACATCAATGGATGATGTCACATCTGTATTTTAAATTGATTTATTCCACTCCACACTGTTGTACTAAGCCATCATTTTTATATCTAGTTAGTCGCACTATCTCCTGAAGTTGATTAGCCAATCAGATAGCTCTCTTTTTGAAGCAATCTGAACGACACACTCACCCTACCTGCAGAGAAGTGACTCTGACACAGTGAATAGCCATGATATCCATATGACGTTAACAAACTTCACAGGTCATGAGGTCACATCAACAAACAAATGTAAACACCATCATTATGATCATTATCAACATTACAAGACACAATGTTACATTGTAAACAATAGCCTTCTTGCAGCCTTAAGGACTGTATAATCCGTACAGAACGTCTTATCGCTTCTTCCAATGATTTTTCACAAAAATAACATCTACAACTCTAGATTTGACGTCGGCATATTGGCACTATTTTGTGCTTCGGTCGTGTCTATTTCAGATATACACAATCAATTCTGTTAATAATTTTAGCGTGGGGATTGACTAAAAGTTAATTTATTTCAGTTCTAAACAAAAATTTAAAACTTTAACTCAATTTTAAAAAAATAGCCAAATTCTGGCTGGGATTACTGAGCAAAATGGCCATTCACTGTATACGTGCGAAAAAAAGCCAGCTACCATTTAGTTTTCGTATTTTAGTTACGTACAGGTGGTTTAATGTTTGTACAGAGATTGATTTTCATTAATTTTTAAGCATCAATATTTCCTAACCGAATATATAACAAACAGTACAAGGATACAGTCCAGACCATTCAAAATGTTAAAATGAATGACAAGGCTATTACAACAAAATATGCAGCCAATGTAAGGGTTAAAGATACATTGTCCCAAAAGTATTTATATAAATCAGGTGGTTACTTCCACTAAAAGTATGGCAAATTTTGTATATATGGAAAGTAGAGATGCCCAAATTTACTAGAAACATACTGGATTACTGGACAAACACACATTGTGTGCCAGCTTGACTGAGGGAGCGGTTGTTATTTCTTTATCAAATGGTTAGGCAGTTTAGGGAACATTGAGGAGTGTCAATGTACAAAAGACTCTGCAATTAAATGGCACAAGAAGAAGTTGACAGAAAATAATAAAGAATTTACTTAGGCCTAAATATGTATGGTAAATGGACAGTAAGTAATGAAAAATGGATGCTCCCACAATCAAGTAAGGTGACAGTCTTAACAATAGTTTATTTATGGCTATAGGAATGTACCAGTTTTGAGAGGGATTTGAAGCAAATTTTTGATAAATTAATTAGTTTGAATATGTTTTAGTCCAAATATATCATCAAATCACACAGTTTGTACACAGGAAAGTATCTTCAAGTAAACCTGGAAGAAGGAAAAAAAAATATCCAAACCATCCCTATTAAAGAGGCATTATATGTGAGAGCTAAATTTGTCTATTGCCAGTCATTTTACTGCCTTCAAATGTTGTATAAATTATTATTTAGACATTTTATTCACATGACAAACCCCTAAACAACTCTTTAGTCATCGGTTAGATTTTAGATATAGTGTGAATTAGACAATGCATGCTATATCTGCGTAAAACACTAATATAGCTGTCCAAACCGAAATTTTCCCAGTAATGCATGTAGTCACTCTCTGCTATCATCAGGAGACAATTTACGACTATTTCTTGTCAAAACTTCAAACATTTTATAACTTCGCTCAGAATAAAACAATATAACTGAAATTTTCAATAACAATATAACTGAAATTTTCAATATATTCCTTTTTCATTATTTATTTTGAACTATTATAGCAGGATTAAGAATAACCAGCTCTTTCTATAAATGTTTCTTAAAAGAAAATTATTTTTGTAACAATTGTAGTCAAGCCAGTAAACCATCTAAGACTCTTGAAGAAAGAGAAGCTGAATATGCTGAAGCTAGACAGAGAATATTTGGTGATGAAGCCCCACCTTTAGAAGAGGATACAGATAGCGAATCTAGGTAATATCTTTTAATCATTCAACCACCTTTCTAACATAATAAAAAAAAGTCATTTAAAGACGCAGGAGACTCAGTTTTATGATTGCCTAGGGCCAACCCCTTGATTGTATGCCCCCGAGACTCAAGTATAGAGCCTAGTGTAAGTGTTCAGAAGTGCGAGAAAGGAAGACATGTTAGATGAAATAAACTTTTCATTCAAATTAAATAGGACAGCCTATACCACAAACAACAGCAATACCATATAATTTCAAATTTTACAAAACTTTAATTTCACTCTTTGATGGGATGCCCACATGAAATGGATGCTCGTGTCCATTGCCCCCTACCCCGCCACATCTCTGCACATCACTGTATAGAGTGGAATACTTATGAATATGATTGTGATATACATTAGTTTGTGCTTTTATTGTTGTCCCCCGCCTTTTGAAGAACGCAGGGGACTACTAAAATGGATCTGTCTGCTTGTCTGTCTGTCCGTCACACTTTTTGGGACACAATAACTTTCCTTCTAATTAAGCTAGAATGTTCAAACTTGGTGTAGGCGATGATTGGGCGATAGCTTTGATGGAGTTCAAAGATGAAAATTTTCTGCTTAGGGTAAGCAGAGATGTTCCATTTGATTGGTTGATGCTTAGGGACGCTATAACTTTGGTTCTAATTAGTGAGAGTGATGAAACTTGGTGCATAGTTTCATCACATCAGTATCTTGAGTGATAGTGGTAATTTGTGTATCGTTTTATTACATCAATACCTTAACATGATTCGATGCTGAGCATTTTCTGCTTAGGCAAAGTAGAGACTTCAATCTGATTGGTCGAGACTTTGGAACACAATAACTTTCCTTATAATTGAGTTAGAATGTTCAAAATTGGAGTAGGTGTCTATTACGTGAATGTCCTGACATAGGTCGATCATGCACATTTTCCACTATGACTAAGCAGAGATGAGTAATTTGATTGGTTGAGACATTGGAACACAATAACTTTAGTTCTAATTGGGTGACAGTGATGAAACTCAGAGTATAGCTTCATTATATCAATACATTGACTAAGTTCAATGATGAGAATTTTCTGCTTAGGCTAAGTAGCGATAAGCAATTGAATTGGTCAAGACTTTGGAACATAGCAATTCTGCTTTTAATTGAGAAATAGATGTTCATTAGGCGAATGTCTTGACTGAGTTCAATGATGAATATTTCACATTAAAGCTAAGTAGAGCTAAGCAATTTCTTTGGTCGATGCTTTGGGATAAGATAACTTCGATTCTAATTGATGGAGAGTGATGAAACTTAGTGTACTAACCTCTCTGAGTTTGATAGTGAACATTTTATGCTTAGAAGTTAGACTAAACATAGATAATCAGTTTGTAATCTGTTTTTTATTTTTCAATTTCGGCGGGGGACATCAGCCTCACTGTTTGCTTGTTTCTATCTATAATCGAATTGTGATAGGGGTTATATATAAACATCATCATTAATGGAATTTTGTCATTCCATTTCACTTTGTATTGCTTGTGCTTATTTTTCAGGCCTGTTAGATTAATTTGTAAAGTAGAAGAACCATTAGGCAATAATGTCATACGCCAGCCCCGTGGGCCAGATGGAACAAAGGGTTTTAACATGGACAGATAGCGAAACGTTTTGTTCTAGACTGAGATTTTATTATTGTTACCACACCGAATGAGCTTTTGTTGTTAATAGGTATTGTTTAATTCACTGTATTTATTTTCACATTAATTAAGCTTAGTCGATATCAAAAAGGCTTTGATATAATGAAGGCAACAATTAGTTACTATCAATCTGGGAGCATAAATGTAGGAAGTAAAAGATTAATGTCTTATTCAGTTTAGAAGGCCTTTTTATTCCCTCTGTGTTCGTTTCCAGATGATGAAATATTTTAAAGCAATTCAAGAAAGTGATCATTGTCATAAATGACATTGTTAGAAATATATGATGTGATACCAATCATTTCTACATTATCCATTTTAATTTTAGTTCCTAAAAAAAATGTTGTATGTGATGACAATTTTACATTTTTAAACAAAAAATGAAGGAATTTGGACATTTTTTTGGCAGTACAGTAGGCTACCACTGATTAGTATCTAAATCACATTTAGTCTTCATTTTATTGCTGTTCTAAAATACCAAACATGTCTTTCATGATGTCATTTATTGAAGTGGTTTAACCATTTAGATCCTCTGTAAAGGGGGATGTAATCATGTAATGGGTCTTCCAAGATTAACAAGATAATTTGAGCTTCTACACTCTTCATTCTAACTCCCTGTTGATGGTGAATCTGGAAATTGAACAGAACTTAATTAGATACAGAGAGGCAGCAGTTTTTTGTAGCACACTTGATTATGAATCCAAAAAGTGTGGTCAAATGAGAATAATAATTTCCATTTGTTTGACCGGGAATTTCACTGTGTATATACATGTAACTTATGATTGCAGTGTCCTTTTTATCAATTTCTTGCTCAATAATCTTCCCCACCTCAAATCTTTATTGAAAAAATCTTCCAAGTAATTTTCTTCAAATGACATTCTTTTCAAATTTCATCTTATGTTCTAAAACACCCCTTAAAAACATAAAGCAGTAAAAAATCAGTCATAAACGACCAGCAGAAGCAAAATAATTGAAAATAATAGTAGCCTCCCTTTTGAAGATAGGACTTTGGCTGTATTTCGTGATGATCAAAAAGAAGTTTGGTTTTTAATTGACGGCATCAGTATGTAAAGTAAATTAACTCTAACATAAATAATAATGTATTTTATTATTGCAGTAATTATGCTCATGAAATTAAAAGATAATAATATACCTTTAATTGACTGTTTCACGGTTACTGAATTTTTTTATGACATTTGCTGTCATGTGACCGTATTGTTGGAGTTGAATTCACTACATGATACTAATATGTTTACTTCAATTCAGTAACTTTTAATGCAACAATGCTTCTGTTAATAAGTTTTCGTCAATTTATATAACTTACATAGTAAATTGATAATTCACACATGTAAAAATGATAAAATTGCACTTAAAATTCATAATTTGTTCTATTTTCAGTTTTAATTTATTGATATTTTTATATGAAAGCAGATTGTATTCAAAAGCGACATAATTTAAATCTTCGTTATCATAACAGATGTAGCTTTCTAAAATTGTATGGTGGCTGATTGTGGTCATGTGAATTCTCATCTTTTTCATAACCAGACATTGAAGTACATGTACATGTAAGCATAGGTTAACAGTTAGAATTAGGTTGTTAATTCAACTCCATACAAGCCAAATATCATCATTTTACCAAATTTAAAATCACTAAAACTACTATTTTATATAGAACTTTAATTCTGTATTAAAGGCAGACTATTTATAAAATCTTGATAAATATTATTATCAGAACACAAATTTAAAAGGAAACAATCACTGGTTTATTATATAAGCACAATAATGATAAGAGGATACTGTCTGCGATATCACCTCGGTGGAAGCAGACGTTAAATAAAGCTATTTCACACACAAGATGATATTTGTTGATTTATTGTGCTTTTAGAATAAAACCATAAAAATTGTGTTTTGTTAATGTGTTTTTCAATCGTTAAATGACACTTGAAGATTATGATAAATATATATTGTAAGCTTATCCATTTAAATGATGCTTATAAAAATGCATTGAAAGGAACATACATGCACAACATGACATCACTTCAAAATTAAAAGGAAGGAAGTTGTCCAATGTGACAAGACAGTGATAATTTATATGTCATGTCACTGAAAAGTCAGAAAACATGAAATGGTCATTTAGAATGGAAAACTATGTAACTATTTAATTTTTATCTTTATCTATATACATCTGATTTTTAAAATTTAGTTTACTTTCAATTTGAGTAGGTGCATAAGCACACATTAAGTTACAGCAGTATTATTATCAAAATGATTTTAAAAATTGTGATGTTTGCTTTCTTCATATTATATGCTTCATAGAATATTGTCCCATTGTTTTTTTGTTTCAAACATATATGATGTAAGCAGTTTAGAGAGGAACTGTTTTATTACATGACAAATTTATCAATAGTATAAATCAACAGATTTTATGAATCTTAATCACTTCAAATATATTTCTTGTTTGATAAAATCAAATACTAATAATAGTTACAGTACAATTAATCTTTCTTACATAAACTCACAGTCATCATTGATTTGAAAACTGAAGACATTTTGATGCCATTTCCATGGTTATTGTGTAGTCGTATTTAACTGAAATAAAATGTTTTAACATACAAACAGATATATCTAATGTAATTATAAAAAATCTATTTGAGAGTTTTCCTGGTATATATTGGGTCATATATCTTAGTAGAGTGATCTGTATAATCCAATATACCCACCCAGGTTGCTATTAATGTTTTATGATATTGTCAAATTAAATATGATCATGTCGAACAATCTCAGCCTAGTTTTCTCCAATAATTTGATTTAGATCGACCATTTCCACATAATATTAGTTCAAACCAAACTGAAATATTCTTTTTTAAGGGGTTGGGGGGTGGATGGCTGAATGGTTAGCATGTGCGCGCTGTATCATAAGGCCTGTCATTGAGTCAACTGGCGTGGTTTCAAATCCCCGGTTGTACTGACAAGGAGTAGGGTCGTCTGTCCAACCTCGTGGTTTTTTACGGGTCCTCCGGTTTCCTCCCACTGCTAAAGACCCCTAAGTGCAAGCGAATTTTTGAAATAAAATTAAACCATATGTTAGTCCCGAAATGACCTAGTTTGTGTCAAGTGGACGTTAAACCCCATTTTTCTCTCTCTCTTTTTTAAGGTTGGAAAGCAATGATACTTGTTTAATTTAAGTAGACAGTGTAACACTTGATGACATGAAGATGCAGAATACAACATATGTATAATAGCATGTGTAATATTTATATTGTGCAATAACCATAAGATAAATGTAATTATTACACTGAAACCCAAGTCTAATTAAATAACACCAATAATATCACAGTTGTTATTCTAACTTTCTTATTAAAGTCAAAATGGTTTGTATTTTGGATTGTTCATTTTTAGTTCTAAATATTTAACTGATTTAATATTTGTAAATGAATAAAATATAAACAAATGGTTAATGGACAAGAGTTTCTTTTAAGAATATAACCTATTTGATTCAAAAATTGCTGAAATATTTAAAAGGAATATATGAAATGGATGTGGAAGACTCAGCCTTTCAGTATGATCCTGCAACTGTCCCAAAGCAGATTAATTTACTAAGATTTTGGCGCAGATTACTTAAAAAAATAAAAAATAGTCACATCTAATAATAAGCTAATATCTTGTTAATCAATATCCTACTGGATGTTTTCAATAAGGCAGCTGATTGGCATTTCATTTTTCTGACAATATCTAGTTTATCATACTTAGTAAAGGCTAAAATGTACTTAGATTAATTTACAATTAATTAAAAACCAAAAACCAAATCGGATTAACAAGAAGACCCTCAAAAGATTTAAGTAGATGGTACTATGTTTTGACCATATTCTGTTTATTTCCTCTGTAGAGAATATCAAATGTTGATAAATTTTCAGTTCATTATATGGTTGTAAATATTTCAGAGATCCATCTTTCACATTATCAAAGTTTGTTCAGAATCCTTCAACTGATCAGAGACTTACTTTAACTGTAACTTTTACCTGCAGAGACTGTACTGTCTCTTAAAAACCTGATATAATTTAAATACATATTTAATAATTGTTAAATGTTAATTATATTTTATAGTATAGCAAATATAATTGTGGATTTTAACATATATTTAAAAATTTCACATTATCCATCCAAATCGCTAATAGGTTACTGAAATGAAAATCTGGAAATCCCAAGGCAATATGATTCACATTTGAGTTTCCTTAACCCTCCTTTTAACTGCCATTTTGTTCAAATAATGCTATTGGTATTTGATTGTATTAAAAAATTTCCCAATTAATTATAGTACCACTTGATTCATATTAGATGTATACTATGGTTTAGCTGTACTTTGAAATTCAAATGTTTCTAAAAGAAATGATCAAATGATCCAAAAACAAAGAAAGAATAATTACACAAACAAGTACTAGTTAGTTAAATTTAATTCTTTTAGATGTAATTGCTGTTTGAAAAAGATAAAACTAATGTTATCCAACTTACATAACCCACATCACCCCATAATCCCAGCCAGCTCTTATGTATTATATTATAAGAGGTACTTCCATCGTGTAGCTAATCCAACTAATATTATATAGTAATATTTTAGTATTGTAAATATTGTATTATAGTCTTTATATATTGACATTGTACAGAATCATTGTTGTGCCAAGTTTATATTGAGTAAAGAAATTATCATTGAAGGAGAGTTTTGTTGTTTATTAATATTTCTTGACAAACACAGTGTTATTAAAATTGTACCGACATTTCTTTTGTGTACTCCACTTCATTTGGTGTAAAGACTTCTTTCGCGTGTTCAGTAATGGGTAGGTGTCTGTCAATCAAAACGATTGGTATAAAAAATAGACATTTGGTAGGACGTCTAAATCAAGGTCAAAGTGCAGATGGTGCAAATGCTCCTGCCCCCGGTAAAAAAAGCACTCTAGAAATCTGGTTAGGTGTTGACTGAGAACGCTTCTTGGGATTTCTCTTTCACAGAAGTGGGCGTTGGAGGGTCTGGCAAAGAAAATCATCCAGTCATTCGTTTTATACGTTGAAGAACGTATTATACATGTACTTCTTCATTTGCCCTGTTGGTGAAGAAAAGTAATATTTCATTCCATGGTTTCCGCAATCCGCTGCCTCATAAATAGGAAAGGAATGTCCACTGGCTGTTTTGTCAACAAACTATTTTGGTCATAATATGGGTATTTTTATTTTATATCATTATTGTCACTGCAACCAATTCCAGATTATCTATACGTTCTTTAGAAAAATTCATTAGAATCAACACATAAAACATACAAATGTAGGGTGCCCCACCATAATTAAATATCTCCCAATATCTCGACAATTACACCACAATATCTATATATACCACAGGCACTTGAAGGTATTAAAATAAAACTCCTTACTACTCTTTGACTATATATTAATATATAGTCAAAGAGTAGTAAGAGGTTTTATTTTAATCCATTCAAGTGCCTGTGATATTATACATTAAGCCTTAAATCAGTTGCAAACATTTATAGTCAATAAATAAACGGTCATGCTGTACTTCATAAGCTATGACCATTTAATCATCCATAAATAATACACTGAATGATGGTTCCGAGTTTCGGCCATAACATCCGAGCACGTGTGAGTAAAAAATAGGTTACGCGCCCTTGTTTTGAAAGTATTCTCGCTTAACCAGTCTACCGATCATTCTACGTTTGATTAACAGGCCGGGATAATCAAGACAACTTTTTTTACGAAACATGACAGAAAGCTGGAACAATAAATTGAATTTAGAAACACGCACGTTAGGCAACTCAACAATTGTTTTAAGAACCGTGTAAAAATAAAATGAAACTACTGCTAGTATCATGTTCTTGCCCAACGCAAGTATTTCAGAGATATTATTTGTACTAAACCAAAAGATGCAGCTCCTAATGGTACATTTAATGATAAACCAATTTAAAAAATAAACGAACGAAATTTCTAAAGCTGCTGTAATAACCAATACGCTAAATATTACTGCTATTCAGAATCGTCAACAATATATTTTTTACGGCTGTAATAGTTGATAGAGGTGTAGAGAATTGCATGTGCGAAAGCTATTTATAGTATGATAGACTCTACCGCTGAGTGCGTAGTATATGCAAGAGATCACTTCAAGATAAGCCACAGAAGCGTGTACATTTAGTTTAAATAAGCAAAAACATAAGCGCTCGAGATAATTTTTATTTCCAAAGTCAGCCACTGTAAATCTTTCTGTGATAAATGTCTGTCCTTTTGGTCAACCATACAAGGAGTCATCCAATGGCATCAATTTAATCACACTTTTATACCGAGAACATCAATTCATACATTAATTTCAAGGCCAAAACAATTTCTAGATTTACATTTTGTTTTATTAATAAACCAGTTAGAGTCTGCAGAACCTGAATATTAATAGCGATAGAACAACAGTAATGATACCTATGGTAATAAGAGTGTTGTAGGTAGAACTATCTGTAGTATAAATTGCTATAACGCGAGCTGGTCCACCACTTCCGTCATATAATTTAGTAACTCCAGCAAAAATAATTGCGCCATGTTCGGGAACCTTATCTAAATAAGCAACGTTTTCAAGCCCAATAATATTATTGGCTCCTAACAATTGGTGTACTGGAAAAGTCTTTGTTTGCCCATAATCTACGGATGGCGTATCAACACCCACTATGCTTATATTTCTGTGTTGAATTAGCCATTCAACAGCATCTTCATGAAATGCTGGAAAATGAAAGGTCTCGGGATTTGTGGTATTTTCTGAACCGAACACTTGACCCTTGTCTGGATACCTTTTTGTCCAACCAGAAGTCATCAATACAATTGCTCCTTCAGGTATATTTCCATATTTGGTTTCCCAAACCTCTATATCAGAAATCTGTACTCTATAGTCGTGGTCAGTTGTCGCTTTTGATGTAACGTCAATAATAACACCGGGGCCAACAAGTCTTTCAACTGGAATCTCGTGGGTTCTCCATTTACCTTTAGAAAAATGAGCCGGTGCATCTAAATGTGTTCCACCATGTTCTGCAGTTGCAAAATAATTAGTTTCATACCTAAAAATAAACAATTAACGTCACATTTCACAATTATGAAGAAAGAAAGATGCCAGTTACAGTAAAGCAATGGTTAAAATCATGTGATAATTTTTGCTGTTCCGATATTTATTTTCATTTATGTGCGTCTTCTTATGTTTCGAGTTCGACTTAAAAAAAACCAACATCTGACTGGAGTAGAGCAATACAGACACAATAAACTAAAATTTTAAGGGTCTAATTCACCTCATTAGTAACCCTGTGTGTTGCCATCCTTGGCGATATGACTTCAATTATTGGCGCCAGGCAGGGTAAGCTTATTCTTCCGGACACCTGTTACCACTCCATATGCTGATTACACTATTTTGCCTTATTACACTATTTTGCCTATTCCGTTTTTTTAGGACTTCGAATTTTGTCTAATGGTTTGGATTGTTCGTACTTTGTTTTATTTTATTTCAATTATTGAAGAGAACGAACATGTGATCTCGTGTCTCCCTGCCCTGTTTTCCAGGCCATTTTTTAAGGTCAAAGTACGGGGATGCAGCTGTACTGAAAATTTTTGCCCCCTCTAGTTAAACTAAAATCTTCAAAGTGCGGGGACATTTTGCCTTATTACACTATTTTGCCTATTCCGTTTTTTTAGGACTTAGAATTTTGTCTAATGGTTTGGATTGTTCGTACTTTGTTTTATTTTATTTCAATTATTGAAGAGAACGAACATGTGATCTCGTTTCTCCCTGCCCTGTTTTCCAGGCCATTTTTTAAGGTCAAAGTACGCGGATGCAACTGTACTGAAAATTTTTGCCCCCTCTAGTTAAACTAAAATCTTCAAAGTGCGGGAACATGATTGGTAGGTCAGGGTCGGTGTAGTGCGATCCCTCTAAAAATTGTTTAGAATGTACCCCCACCCCCAGGACCCTCCAATCTTGCCCCCGCAGTTTAAAAATCTTAAGGGCCTTCTGTTTTCGTCACATGCGAACAACCAGACGCGTTATGTCAGACTCACGGGTGCCACATCTAACAAATTGTGAGAACAAGACTTAAAACAGTTCTCTAGGTATAGAAACATATTTCTTACCAATGAGTTCCAACCTCGTTTCTGTTAAGAATGGTAAAATTAAAATCTGGACTCCCTGGCCAATAAATGGAGGATGCATTCATAGTAAATGTAAGGTCGACAACTCGTGCATTTTCTCCATGGTAAAAGATGGCCATAGCAGCATCAAGAGAGATCAAGAGTAGAAGAGGTGTTGCCTCCGACCCAATCATTTTCTAATAATCTAAAAAAAAAAAAGTTTAATTTACACCATTATTAATAGATGATGTCCAAGCCGTTGCCAATCACTTCCAGGTCAATGTTCGGACTATCTACGGGCTTCAGCAACGCTTTCGGGCCACCAACACCACGAATAATTGCCCCCGAACTGGTAGACCAAGGGCTACCACAAAGCGACAAGACCGCCATGTTGTGCGACAGCACGTGCAGAATCCCTTCACACAGGTGTCTAAGACACCAGAGATAACATCCATTGTGATGAATTAATCACTAATGCGTCAACATACTGTTCACCAAAAATTGCTTTGATCCATTTAGTAAGTCGTTTTCTAGAATGATTTGGTTAAAGTGCCTCTCTGATTTTGAAATCGTACGAACGTTGTCAAGTGCCGTTTCTACGATATAAACAATCTGTGCTACAACATTGATTAACTTCGCTCAGAATAATGTTATTGGAATGAATATAGTAAGAACGATCAGCTCTTTATCTAAATCTTACATAATGCATCTAAAACGAAGCGAGAGAGAGATAAATGGGGTTTAACGTCCACTCGACACAAACTAGGTCATTTCGGGACTAACATATGGTTTAATTTTATTACAATAATTCGCTTGCGCGTAGGGGGCGGGGCCCGGAGAAAACCCATGAGGTTGGACAGGCAACCCTACTCCTTGTCACGTACATCCGGGGATTCGAAACCACGCCAGTTGACTCAATGAAAAGCCTTATGATACAGCGCGCACGTGCTAACCATTCCGCCATCCAACCATATGGAACGCAGTAGCTGTCTTATGTTATGACGTTTTCAAAATAGTCTCCATCTTCGATTTAGGTTACACTCCAGATAAGTTGGTAGATAGACAAGATAACATGACAGTTTGACAAAATAACATGTCATTTAGTTGACAAGATAGCATGTCAGTTTGACAATATAGCATGCTATGTAGATAAGTTAACAAGATTATATAAACAAAATAGCATGCCAGTGTGACAAAATAACACATCTTGTAGACGAGTTAACATGGCATTTAGACAGGACAGTTTGACAAAATAACGCGTTATGTAGTTGACAAGATAGCATGTCAGTTTGACAAGATAGCAAGTTATGTAGACAAATTAACAGGGCATACAGACAAGATAGCATGCCAGTTTGATAAAATAACACACCATGTAGACAAGTTAACACGGTATATTGACAAGATAGCATGACAGTTTGACAAGTTATGTAGACAAATTAACAGGGCATACAGTCAAGATAGCATGCCAGTTTGATATAATAACACAACATGTAGACAAGTTAACACGGTATATTGACAAGATAGAATGACAGTTTGACAAAATAACACGCCATGTAGTTATGTAGACAAATTAACAGGGCATACAGTCAAGATAGCATGCCAGTTTGATAAAATAACACACCATGTAGACAAGTTAACACGGTATATTGACAAGATAGCATGACAGTTTGACAAAATAACACGCCATGTAGTTGACAAGATAACACGCCATTTAAAAAATTTAACACAGTATTTGGACAAGATAGCAAGGTAAAGTGACAAAAATTGTCACTGTCACAACACCTGAAATGGGGGGTCCTCTAAATATCACAACAGCCTTAATTAGTGCCTGTATTTTGGTATCAAAATGTATTTGAGATGATACTGAACAATAAAAAATGGTTGACAATCAAAAATAATGACTTTGGAATTTGTAACTTTAGAAAATATGAAGCAAATATACCATTCAGCACTGCGCAACTATAGGGTAAACAAGACAACATGGGAAATCACAAAGTCTCACACAGATGCCCGAATATATACACTACAACCATCAAGACTTCAAATTTTGAAACCTATCTTTGTTTTAGCAAAAGTCCATATAATCAACCTTTTTTTTCAAATATTCTCAAGGGACTATTTTCAGACTGTTTGTATGGAGTACCATCATAAACAACATCTGGATGAAATATTTCGGGTCTATATGGCAAATACTAAACACTGCATAAAAATTCCTTCAAACTCCTTTTGTTTTCAGCTATTTTATAGGCCCAATGAATACACTTGCTAACATTTTTATGACTTCTTCTTCCCCCTTCAAAACTTTTTGCCTGGAAGAATAAAGCATTGGACATATGTATTAACTAAGTTTTACATTAAAATATTTTGTAATATATTTTATTCAATATTTATTCACACTCTTCACAGTGTTTAATCTTTGTTAAATTGTACACTATAGTCCACAATTGAATGTGGAAATGTCCAGCTGAATGTTTGATTGGAACATTATGATGTGTTGCAAATGGTACTCCATAGAAATGAATTTGCCATACAAAAATTACATTTAGGTAACAAATTCTATTTAGGTAACAAATTCTATTTAGGTAACAAATTCTATACCAAACCTTCAAAATGATTATTATTTTAACATAAATGAATAATAACCTACCCAATTTTTAGAAACGGGCCTTTTTGTTAACAATACCGAACGTGATATGGTTTGCATGGCCGAATGGTTAGCACGTGCGCGCTGTATCAAACGATCTGTCATTAAGTCAACTGGCGTGGTTTCAATTCCCTACGCTACGCGCAAGCGAATTATTGAAATAAAATTGAACCATGTGTTAGTCCCGAAATGACCTAGTTTGTGTCGAGTGGACGTTCCCCCCCCCCTCTCTCTCTCTCTCTCTCGCTCTCACAATGTCACACTGAATCAGCAATGTGGCTCACTTTCTCTCTTTACCTTTCAGTTGCCCTCGTGCATTCCGTTTTGTACGATATTTTTCAACCGGTGTTAAACATAAAGAATAGTAAATACAGTCAAAATACATTTAAATGAGTATATGAGTACAATTTCCTTACATCACGTTTTCGCTGTGTCTTTTTGCTGTGCAACTGTGCATATCATATAGTAGATTTAACACGGGTTTGCCCCCGACTAGAGGTGTATTTAAAACATGTATTCATCTACACAGCCGGTGTCCTAAGCAACCTGTTGTGAATAAAAATTTCTTGTGTGCAAAGGAGAAAATGCTTGGTATAGATTACCAATACATGTAACACATTGGTTATTATTTTGATTGTACCGTATGGTGTACGTAAAGTTTAGATATATATATTATGTCCACCTGACACAGTCGTTGATAAGCTGCCTAACACAGACATGCTACGAGGGCTGGCTGAAAAGTACTAAGCCTATCTGTGTTAGAGTGGTTCATGCACAGAACAAAAATCCAATAAATGAGCTTAATTTGGGGCTTATTTTAACAAATATGATAAGACTTACCATTAAAATCATCGTTCATGAATAATTAAACTATTGCTAAGTTAGATATTTGTGTGATTTAACCATTTGAACGTGACTTTCTAATATGTGGAAAAGCATCCCAAACTTAGGCTGCCTGTCTACAGCTAGCTCCGCCTGAGAACAGGCCCTAAGCTAATTACCCGACATTTTAATTCCTACATCGACGATTTTAGTCGAAAACACCGAGTATGCTTTTAGTAATTTTTGGAAGTATTTATTTCTCTTCTATTGTCATATTGAATGAAATTAAATATGTTTATTTAGCCGCTGTGTGTATGAAAGATGTCAAACTAATCAAAGCTCGAATCACAAAATATTCAATATGGCGGCGCCCATAAAAGGTAATTTCACAGAGGCGGTTTTGTTTGCGAAGACAAATTTAGGAGTATCTAACCTTGTTTTGAAAGATAAACAGATTGAAACTCTAAAGACAGTTTACAATGGCAAAGAATGTATTGCAATATTACCCACTAGCACATATTATATATCGCTTTTACCGGATTGACAGAAGTTGACATTTTGCTACTAAAGACATGTGTTTACATTAAAAACGTGCGTGATCGCGTTATTTTTACTCTGTTGTGTACACAAAGCTGTGTCCAATCGATAAGTCCCGCCCCAAAATGATCACGTGGGCGTTTTAAATGGCGGCTACCTGGGGCAGTGCAAAGCCCTGTATAGGGAAAGTTACGACAACTCATTTACAGGCGCCATTATGGGTCCCAACTATGACGCCATACAAACTATGACGTCATGGCGTCATATAGCTTTACTTAACAAAACGTTTTATTTTTTTCTTGGTATAACGTTTTACGGGCTACAATTTATCCTAAACACATTGCAAAAGAAATCAATGCAGTTTGGTTCAATGAGAAATATGTCAGACAAAATCATACTCAAAATCGGCTATGGCAAAATGACATGATTAACATAATACAATTTGACGTTCTTCAGGAATTACCGGAGAGCGATATCTCGTAATCGGTGTCTTTCAGTGGTGGAAGGATAAATAATTTCTTTTTAAATTCCTCAAACACAGAGTGGTTATGCAAGCAAAATGTGCTGAAAAATCGAACTTAACACACCCCATTTCATTTGGTGGCGCGCATTTCTTTCTAAATGACTGCCAAATTTGATAATATAATACCACTTAAAAAGAAAAAAAAACAAAACATTAATTTGGTAATAAAGGGGCAGCGATAATCTTCAAAATAAATTTAGAGAATTCTTGGTGGTAGAAATTCAAAGTGGCCGGCAAAATGAAATCCAAAATGGTTGAATTTTAATTCATCGTCTTTTTTTTTTCGGTGGGTATGGCTTGTAATATGTCGTATATATGGGTTTGGTGGTTGTTGGGGTCTATTTAAAATAAAACCAACTAATTGTGAATGGTCCAGATGGTGTAAATATAAAACGACAGTCAAAATAGAAACCAAAATGGCGATGCCTGGCCTTGTGGATATTGCTTGTAATAAAGTTTTTACGGTTACTGAATTCAATATTGGGTTCAAAACCATGGTGTACCCTTTAGTTAGATGTACCCTGTAGTTCAGATAGAGTCTATAATCCATAATCAACCCTGTCTATAGTCTCTAAAACATGATGTACCCTGTAGTTCAGATAGAGTCTCTAAACCATGTTTACACTGTAGTTAGGATAATCCATAGTCTTGTAAATAGGAGGTCGATCGTCAAATGAACATGAATTGTAGGCTATGTTCATCGCGAAATGACATAGTTTCTCTTAAATGAATATATTGTTAACATGCTTAAAATACCCGGATGCAATAGACTTCGTGTAAAAAATTCTGGGTACACACTGTTAACCACCCATAGATGTTTTTATGACAATAATTCAATTCATATACTTTATTCAGCTCGACGTAAAACTTCAAAAATATATAGAAACAGTTGGTTTAACTTGAATGTAGATATTATACATGTATGTACCTTTCGGATGAATCATATTATTAAAATATCTTATTTCATAGAGTTGTACGTAGGTTTTCCTTTTAGCCTTTAAATTTTCTTGTTTCACTTGACTAAACAAAACATTTTGTAGGAATGTATGCTTTAATAGATTGAACAAAAAGCCGATAAATGTTGAGATGTGTGGAACATGCTCGAGGCAATTTGTAACAAATTTCAGACACGCTATATCTTTGATACTGGTTGAGCATCAGAACAACTTCATTCTTTTCATTGGAAATGGGGCGCAAATGCCCAAAGGAGTCGGACAAACTCAAAACTAACTGCGTTCCTTCACTGGGCCCCTTCAATGTCTGTCTACCTGTGGAATAACATGTGTTTGTGTGTTAAATTTGTGCGGTTTATATATTCGACAAATTAATATTATTATTTACACATAGGCGGGGAGTGATAACGTCTTACCTCAAACACACAGAAAGTTTCGGGGAGCGATATCTCGTATCACTTGACATTGATGAAACATATGCCACAAACACATGTCGCGCATAGAGCAGAGTGGCGCTAGACACCTTTTATTTAAATTACACTGATTTTAAGTTACACTAATTTTAAATGTTTTATCCATCAGTCAATTTAAATGAATTTCAATTTTCGAAAGATTGATGATACAATTAATGACACACAATTCGGAATGGCTCAAGGCCATAAAATCGTGGAATTTCAGGCGCTTATTTTTCCGGCTAGAAGGCAAAATGGTTTTATCTCATAAATTATTATTTATATTTTTATTTTTCACTTTAGCCTACTAGCCTGCACAAAAAATCTGATTTTTAAAAGCGTATGCAAGTTAAAATATTTAATAGCGCTTTTATCTGATGTATCTTTCATTTCATTTTCTTATTAATTAGGCTATAATATAACAATAATGTACGCTTTGTGTTGTATAATAACAATAATAGTACGTTTAGCTATACTTTTCGTTTAAAAAATGTATGTTTTATCTCCTATAGACTCTTTTTCGCGGAATTCTATGACATATCTATCCACATCCCTGTCGGGGCAGGCAACTTTGACACAACAGTATGATAGAACATAAAATAGATAGTGAGTAGGTACAATTACTTGGGACCCAAGATGGCGTCTTTGTACACTTGACGTCATATTTTCATGACATCATATGAAATTTCTGGCTTCACATTTGTCGCAACTTTATCTATACACGGCTTTGGGGCAGTGATCATAATGACGTATGACGTAGATGGATCGCTGCGTGCAGTTTGTGCGGAAAAGTTGATCGCCCAAGTAGCGTTACAGCGGTAGATCTTTTCATCAAAATGATTTATGTTTCTTGGTCACATCAAAGTTTCAAATTTTGCTCTGAAAAACGAATTCTTAATTTCCACAGTCGGGATTCTTCGTTTTTTTACGTACGTACAATTAACGATTGAATTTAACCTTTTTACGCGTGCGCAACCCTGAGAGAGAGAGAGAGAGAGAGAGAGAGAGGTTGTCTGTATTTATCAGTTACCTTGACCTGATTTTTTTTTTAACATTTACATGCAATAGACAGTTAAAACTTTCTAATAAGGGGAATTTCGTGGTTTACAAACGCAATATGTAGAGAGTGCTTGCCGTACTCATAATGTTAAATATCCTTTATGATAATCCTATTTTGTTTCAAATAATTATCACAAATATAAAAATCATACACATCAAAAACAGAGCACACGAAAGCATTTTCAAATCGGTTCCCCAGCAGTGGTCCAAATGTCAATCATTACATCCGGAATTCCGTATAATAATCTACTTAGAAGTCAAAAATGCGACTCCTGCACATTGCGCTCTAAACTGTGTTATAAATTATAGAATAAACCGTAAATCAATTGAACCCATTTCAAGGTGGAACTGCATGCTTTTTGATATGGTTGGGCTATTTGAGGCGTCAGATAATCTAAAAATAGAAGTTTATACGTGACAATGTGTCTCGAAAATTTCTTTGATCTGTTATATGACGGGAAAATTCTGTTATTAAAAAACAACCGGCATGAAAATGACTACATAATAAATTGGAAGTTCTTCAATAATGATCTTTTAGTGAAATGTTAGATTAATTAAGTTTAAATATATCCTTTGAGTTTGAATTAACACTAAATGGTTGTGTTGTGTCGTTGTGTCGTATGTTTGAATCTGGAAATTTCTATTTTATACTATAGCTATTGTTCTTGAAAGTAAGACGCACAATTTACGCATCGTGTCGCGTTTTCATATTTTTAATAATTATGAAACTTGAAACAGTCAATTTTAATTTTATTTTAATCATACACGTCTGGTTAATCGAGACTAGGTAAAATACATTTCGTTCAATTAATTTCCAGTCTCAATTTGTTTTCTGCATATTTAGAGCTAGGAACAATGTAACTTCTAAACTAACTAAAGCGACAACTAACAACAGAGTTTTACGGTTAAATAAAAGTAACTTTCACAGTCTTGCAGTGTCGGTACGTTGCCGCGTGAGTGGGTTTAAAAGATAGAAAAAGGGCGAAACTCAGTGGCGGCGCAATCCGTCGGTGGTCGGAGGGGCAAAGCTGGGTCAAAGTCCAAGGTTAAGGAGGCAAAGGCACGAGCGTCAACTAGGGGGGGGGGGGGGGCTCCCCCAGAAAATTTCGAAAACCAGGTTGCCGGAAATGGAGCCTGGCAGTATTTCAGGCACTGATCGTTGATTTAAAGTGTCAAACGAACGGACTTGCGAACCTCGAC